CCCCCCCCCCCCCCCCCCCCCCCCCCCCCCCACTCACACCCTCACACCCTCACACCCTCTCTTCATTTCTCCGCTAATCACACACTACAAACTACACACTAAATACACAAAACGCGTTAACCAGAATATCGTCAAAGGTTGCACAGATTCGTCAAGACATGAAGATCTCTCTACTCACTTTTCACAGCTGACTTCTCTCTCTCTCTCTCTCTCTTATATATATATATATATATATCGGCTATATTTCTTGGCTTTCTACTTTCTTTACAGGTACAAGAAGAATAGACAAACAAAGAATATATATAAAAACATAAGCATTTTCACAATGACACGTGGTGACACCACCAGTGTCCGACTCTCTATTTATTTAAATATATACAGTCATTTCAGAAAGTAAAGTCGCTGCTTTTGAGTTTGATGTCGTGCAAAAAAATTGCGTGTTCAACAATGATGTCGACTGATCCAAAAATAAAGTTGTGCTCACATTACAAACTTCACTTATTTTTACTTGTCGCTTAGTTAATTGCCCAATAACATTTCTTGGCATGAATTGTTGTTATAAAAAAAAAAAGGGACGATTTTCTGTGTCAATTTTACTTTCTTCTTCCTATTTACAATTTATTTTACAGACATTGAAGATGGGTATGCAATTTTTCTATGAAGATAGACAAGGTCATGTTTTTGATGAGAGGAGCAGTGAGGATGTTTATATGGAACAATGCAATAAGTGCTGCTATACAGTTTATTCTGATGACGATAAATCTCGATTTTTTCATTTATTTTTCAGCAAATGCTTGAATGCTTCTGCAGCTGCGAGACAATTGGATCTTCATGTCCGAGCAGCACAGAAATGGATTAAACGTTATTACGAAGACCCTGAAAGCATCTTCGAAAAGAAGAGAAAGTCAGGTCGGCGTCGTATTCTTGGAGAAGATCATAAGCAGTTTCTTTTAAATTACATTGATGAGAATCCCTCTGCTCTTGTAATTGAAGTGACAGAAAGTTTAACACAAAATTTTGCGGGTCTTAATGCTTCTCATAGCACTATTTATAGCTTTATGACAACTGAGCGCAACCATCTATTAAGCAGGTACAGTTCCAGCCTGTAGAAAGAAACAGCGAAGAAAAGATTCAACAAAGGTACCATTGGGTACAAAAGTGGCAGAAAACTGACTTGTATTTCACAACAAATTGCGTCTTTCTTGAGGAGTCAGCCTTTCATATCAATTTGAAACGAGGTATGGCCTGGTCAAAGAAGGGAACTCCCGCCGTAATTACAGTGCCTACAACTAAAGCAAACACAACATCGATTTTAGGTGCAATATCTGCAACTGGTTTAATCAATGTCAGTTTGAGAGTTTCAAAACGCATTAAAAAGAGAAAGATTTGACGTTCAACTGATGGTTATAGTATAGGAACAGTGACAGGGCATTATCTGAGCTTTTTAAAGGCCACTCTTGATGAAATGGACAAGTATCCCGATATGAAGGGACATTACCTTGTCATGGATAACGCTCCTATTCACAGCTCAAGTGATATAAGTACGTATATCTTCGTATTCTCCTGAACTAAATCCAATTGAGCAGTTCTGGTCAGTCGTCAAGAGTAAAGTTAAGCGAAATAAGTTTTTGGAAAAAGAAACGCTCATGACAAGGATTAGTGAAGCATGTAACAGCTTATATTTTAGTGATTTCCAAGGCTTTGTTTCTCATTCTGCTAAATGCTTTGACAAGTGTCTCCACAAAGAGAGACTATAAAATATCCAATGCAAATAAAAAAAAACGCGCAACTCAACGCAACTCAACGCAACTCAACGCTCAACTAAACGCCCAACTCAAATGATTGGTTGAGATTGTCGGCAAGTTAAAATAAATTGAAACACTTTTGCTCCCTCTTTTTTACTTTTACTTTTTTTTTCTCCCCCCTTTTTTTTTAAAAATGTTGTAAGTTTGTTATAGCAACTTCATCGAAGCTCATTACCATCGTAAACAAATGCTTTGAAGGCGAAGGTTAAGTCTCTTCACCCCAGAGACTTCGAGAACACCTGAATATCCACGGTATATCTACACCTCGCAGATCTCTGGGATTCCGAAGAAAAAACAACGAGAAATATACCTTTGTGAAATGTGGAAACGGTCACGGTTTGATTGAAGCACACGCCGGTTGCCCAGCTTGTTCCGCGCATTATGCAGACATAAAATAATTGAAAGACCATTTTTATATTTGTCATCATCAATCATTAGCCGACCAACACCAGCATACAAAATCACAGTCGACAGCACAACAGCATCAGAACAACGGTCAAAATCGAGAGCCGTCGCCATCACGACAACGACAGGAAAGCAGCCATGATCAAGAACAATCATCGTTGCAGCAGCATCTGAATGACGTCCATTGCGTTATATCTCTTCCAAAGTGGCGCTTGTTGTATTTCAGGTACGAAACAATAGAAAAATTTTTAAATGTGATAATAGAGACGTATAGAAATACTTTGAGACTTTATATAAGCTGCCCTTTATTCATAAATAAAAAGCGTCCCTTTTTATAAGAAAATACAATCTGCTTTTGTCATTACGTCTCAGTCTCTTAAGGCTTTCTTCCTTTACTATATTTGGTTATTAAAGTGTATTTACTGCTTAACTAGTGTCGGTGTTACAATTATAACATCAAATTGTAAATCGTATTTTTTTTAGCTTTTAGTTATTCTTTTCTCTTTTATACTAGAGCTTTAGGACTTCCTACTAAATTAGCTCCATATCGATCTGACACAGTTTACCCGGCAGTATGATATAGTTATCTTAACAATCTTTAAGATATTATCTACAGTACTAACTGTAATAATTATTGGCCTGATTACTTAATCGTTTATATATATTTTATACTGACAAGATGATAGCTACTATGCTATCCCAATATGAATATGTTCTTATATGTGATAAATCCAATATCCGAGTGTCTGGATCACCACAGCGCTCGAGCACAAGAGCTGAAGATCGCTATCTGGAGATTGAGCTGTTGGATCCAAAAGATTTGTCTTTTCCGCCTGTGGACCATGATGATCATTTTGTCGGTCAGCAGTTTGATGTGACAAACGCGATGTACGAATTCCAGTGTTCGATTTTACGACAAGAATGGAAGCTCTCCCTTTAAGATCATATACACCATGCTATGGCGATCAATTCAATTTTACTGCTATCACCAAATAAATATCCAGACAACTTGTCACCGCATTTCTGCGAAGCCAGCCTCAGAAAGACCATGAACAAAATTAAATCCATTTATGGATTGAATTTGGCTCGTATGCAAATCAAAACGGTAACCAATATGATCAACATTATACAGGAACTCGACATCGAAGCAATCAGTCGCAGTCAAGCGATTGTGAAACTTCTGCAACTTGATATTTTGCCACATGAACGCAAATTTGCCAATGGCCTAACCGAGTTAGTTAAAAAGTTACCTCGTGTGCCAATTGAAGAGGATGTGAACGAATCCGAACTTATTACCCGATTCGTTGATCCGTTTTTATGCGGCCTGTTTGATGATCCTGAAGAAGGGGTATTTATTCGATGGACAAACGACATAACAGTCGAAGCACGAAAAAACGAAACCTTGTGGACACGTCGTCCCGATCTTACCGTAACAAGCTTGAAAGGTGTGAAATGGTCGACCAGCCATGGATACGGTGAAGTAAAACCAGTATGCCATGAAGCAACCAACTTTTTGTTGTCGAACGATTTGATCCGAGTGGCGATATTTTGCAAGAATGCCTTCGACGCACAAAACTTGGAGGGTATTCTAGGTTTGCAAATCATTGGACGATCCATTACCTTCTATCTCTTGGTGTTGCCATCCGATGGCCTTTATGTCATGTATGAATTAGGGACTCTCCAGCTACCGAATAACTTGTGTGATTTATGCAAACTGCTGATGGATATTCCACTTGGTTTGCTTGTCCTTGATGTCTTCCATCGACTCTGCATCCGCTCTGTCAATCCCTTTCAACCCTCACGACACCGTCCAACTGTCCTGAGTCTAATTTCGATGGCATCTTTTCAACTTCACAGGATCGCAAGCGGTCTTGCCATTTGAAGAAAAACAACTAGGAGTAACGAATCCAATAATGGTCTTCTCCAGCATACGGGCCAAATTATTTAAGAATGGAAAAAAGTGAATAGAGAGGGTGTCTTCGAGCCTGAATTGCAAACGTTTGCAATTTTTTATTTTACGCGGCGAATTAAATTCCAATACTTGTTTTGCAAATTTCATGGTGGAGGCCATTTAGTGAGCATTTGAAGCCAAAAGTTAGGTAATCCCTGATTTTTTACTTCAAATGCTCACTAAATTTCTAGTAAAAATTGGGGTTATTTTTCCCACTTCAAAACAAAATGTATGATAGCCAGTAGCATTTTCTTCATACTTACTTAATAAAATAGGCCTTGGAAAGTCAAGTTTATTAAGGTCTATTTCCTCTAAATTTCTTAGTATCAATGTTTTCAACTTATAATATTCATAACTGTGTCTGAGCTTTATTCTTATTTTTGATTGGGTTTTACAAATAATTATTTTTTAGTCATCTTGAAATTATCATAACTCGACACCCTCTCTAATAATTGCAAATTTAGCTATTAAATTACTTTATGTAGTAGGTTTTATGACATAATTTTCACTTTGTTCTAAAAACGTAATTTGGCTCTGAACATTCGCCGGCCTCAAAAGGGCTTGCTAAATAAAATCCAAATGTCCCAAAGAAGATTTGCCGTTATTTTAGAGATACTTTCAACATCAGATGCAGTCTACTAAAGACCTTATTTCAATTCTTTCAATTCTTTCAATAATATAACCGCCTTTACGCATTATCTTACATATGTAGAATTTATAAAATGTAACTTTTACAGGACAGTTTAGTAGTAACCTTTGCTTTTTACATTTTGGAAAAAATGACTGCTTTCTGGGTTTATACTTTTATATTTGGATTGAAAAGCCAATCTACTTGGGATAATAATTTGGCTCGTATGCTGGAGAAGACCATAAATAATTCTTTTTCTTAAAGATAGACTTGTTTTTGGAAGTGTACTACAGCTTGTTTTTACATAAAACCTATATAAGTTCCGTAAAATGCTATATTGAGGTCTATTCATTAACTTTTCTTTTGGGACATTAATAAAGTTTTTGATGTAGAAGACCATAAACGAAAGCGGAAATGCGAAATTACCATTTTTATTTCTATTTAGAGAACCGACTTGATTGATATGCCAATAAAAATAAAATAAAATAAAACACTTGTCCTCATTGACAGGATACACACACACACACACAATACAGCATGTCAAGACAAGATCCCACTCTTGACATTGTCAAAGAACGCGTCAAGCAGTACAATCTCACCGATGAAGAGAAATTAGCAATCGATACTTCTAGAAAGCAACTCAGTACCAGAAGTATGATATATATATATCTTTATTGGGTTCTTGGTCGAATGAAAGTGTTCATTACTAAAAATTCTTTACATTCATAAAGCTAGTTTTGGAGGTTTTACTGGTGCAGCAGCAGCATTTTATTTGTGTAAGTTGCAAGAGATTCCAAGTCTTTATTTATTGTCATTATTAGAGCAATATCAATATCAATACAATAAATGAATGAATGAATGAATGAATGAATTTTTATATACTTACTTTTTGGTTTTTTTTGTTTCTTTTTTTTTCAATAATAATAATAATAAAAAAATAATGATAGCTAGAAGAAGGCAATTTTCTCCATTAAGATCAATCTTCCTTGTTGGCGGTGGATTTTTTCTCGGCTCTCAGCTAGGGTTTATTGCAGGAATTACTGCGGGAATGAATACTATTAATAAGCTTCCTAATCCTGATCGCCTAAAAAATTTGGTTATCGATGTTCAGTAAGTGATTACAATATATATAACTTTATTTTATTTTATTAATGTTATGTATGAATGGAAATATTTCCACAGAAACGAAGTGATGGCTTCTCGCGGATACACACGTGACAGTCCCACCAGCCGGCCTCGTCCAATGACACCAGAAGAAAGGCAAAACCACACGAGGGTTCCTGGACCAGGTTTAGAGGAACCACAAAACGAATTGAACAGGGAGTTTGGTGGTTCTGTTGGTGGACCAAGAGGAGACGTTTTCTGGGATGAGGAAAAGAAGAATGACAAGAATTATGATAAGAATAACAGTAATAATATTGATTCTTTTGATGAGGTACAGGGGCTGAGAAAGGAAAGCACCGTGTCGGCCTGGGATAAGGTCCGTGCTGAGCATGCGCCCACAGACAATTCATGGGCCAAGCTTAGAAAGGAGAGTCAACAGGAGGAAGGGTATCAGAGTCAGAGTCAGAGACAGAGACAGCAATCTGAATACGATAATTTCAGAAATGATGATTTATCCAAAGGAGAGCTTTTTAGAGAAGGGTTGGAAGCAGGCAAGTCTGCCAAAACCAATGCATGGGGAGACCGGATGTAAACTATTATTCTCTTGTTTTATTGTATATAATTTATTTTTGGCGATAATTGAAATAAAAGTTGTGTTTTGCAGAAATAGAAATTTGCGACATAACATATATATATATATGTTATTTCTCTTGACAAAATAAATAATCAAACACATATATACATATATAAATGCATACATGTGAGTGAGGGAATTCGCAATTTGTAATTCGTAATATCAATTAGCTATCATTATTACTTTTACCATGATTTGTTAAGAAATTCCAAGCAATAGATTTTAATGCATATCAGTCTTTATATGCCCATAGAAATCAAACATGACACCTTGTTAAATATTGTCAATAATAAAATAGACAAAAAAAAGGAGGAAGGGTAAAAAGGGGAAGTGAAAATAAAAACAGTAGGGTTCTACAGAATTATTTTACGGATTCTTTCTCTCTTTCTTTTTATATATATATATATATAATTGTAAAGAACAAGACTTAACTAAAGATTATTAATATCAATCCATAAAAGTATATTTATGTATATATGTATGTATACATGTATGTTAAGGGAAAAGAAGTATCTTTACATGACCTTTGATCACACGGACTCTTTCTTTTCTCTCTCCTTATTCTCACTTGATTTTCACAATGTAGGCTACGATTTTTGTCCCTAGTATCAGACACTACAACTACAGGAAAGAACGATTAATACATTCAAAAACAGTGTATGGGTGTGTAGTATGAAACATTTTTCCAAACAAACTTATACACTATACACTTTGCCACACTGAATTGAAGGCCAAGCATTACTACCTTATACATTACACAAGAAATCTTATCCGTTAAATGCACATGGCCGGATCATCTTTGTGCCTCTCAAAATTGGAACGTGGTCTTGCAGTTCCATATATTTTTATATATTTTGCGTACCCAACCCCCCATATATTTTGTTATTTTATTTTATTTGCGCATTTTGCTCTATTTCTTTTTGAGTTTTTGAGTTTTTGAGTTTTCTCGCCACATATGGAAAAATATTTTGCGTAAAAATAAAATAAAATAAAATAAAATAAAATAAAATAAAATAAAATAAAATAAAATAAAATAAAATAAAATAAAATAAAATAAAATAAAATAAAATAAAATAAAATAAAATAAAATAATACCAAGAAATCAGATGGGCACAAAAAATCGATTATAATTTTTCTTTCTTTTAAAAAATAAAAAGGAAATTGTAGTTATAATCAGAATTACTTTTAGGAGGACTGTAGCTATTATTATTATCTCTTTTGTTGTTTTGTTCATTCGCCACAATTGCGGGTTAATGGATTCTTGAAAGGGAAATAGAAGGGAATTTGGAAAGAATGGGCCTTCATGGGCTCATCCCAGTCCCACGAGATTCAAGAATGGAATAAAATATTACTCTTGTTATTTACGCAATCATCCGGCTTATGCCCTATTGTCTATCCCAAGGGCCATGCGAGTAACCGGTTTCTCCGTTTCCACCCATCCGTTACTCCCCACCCCCCTCCCTTTTCCCTTATTTATTCTTCCACTCTAATCTCTATATATCTATATCTTTCTATAACCAATTATCGCCCCCCTTGTTTTCTTTTGGAATTATGCCTACTTCATTCCCACTATATATTTCTATTACTAATAACCAAAAAAGAAAAATAAAGGGTAATCGTAGATTTATGGTCAATGAATAGCATATACTTCTTTAACCATTTTTGTCTAATGAATAATACCCGATATATTATCTATAGAGATCAAGATAAACACAGATAATTTTTTTTCTCTTTCTCTTTCTCTCTCTTTTTCCCCACATTAAAGTCGGTGTTAAGATGACCCCATAATTATATAATACAACCGATATAAATAGATAAAGGAAAGGGAAAAGAAGGTGAACGGAACATGAAAGTCATGATGTGTTCCTCTTTAGATGCAAGGCGTTGTGCATATCAACAGACATTCTCTTTTTTTATTATTACTATTGTTGTTGTTGGGAATATAACCCTAGAAAAACCAAAACCAAAACCAAAACCTTTCTTTTCTTATATGATTATATAACTCACAATTACATAATAGCCAAGACTCAAGGAAGTAGAAGAAGTAGAAGAAGTAGAACAATAAAGGTATATCTTTCTTTCTTATGGCCGAGAATAGAAAAACACACACAAAAAAAGGGTTGGACTTATATATATATATATATTATAATTTATTATCCAAGCCTGAGCATGCGGTAACTCATGGCAAATGTCTTTTCAACCATCACACGAGCCTGTACCTCTTAACATGGAGGGAGGGTTTGGGGGGTGTAAAATAAGAAAGAGACAAAGCAAAGCAAAGCAAAGCAAAGAAAAGCAAAGCAAAATAGAGAGAGAGAGAGAGACGATAAGAAAAAAATAATCTAAAAAAGAAAAAATTCAAGTCAGGCGGCCTAAGAGACAAAGGATTGGTTCACACTCTTGATTTGATTTGGTTTGGAATAATTCCAATGTGTCTTCTTTATGCATTTCTCACATGGAAGCTGCCATCAAATTGTATAAATTGACCTGCTTCTTTACACAAATTTCTTAAATCTTTTATTTATTTATTTATTTAAAAAATATATATATCAAATTCAAAACCTTTCTTTCTCTTTTACGCTTTTCTATTTTCTGCTTTTAATTTCATAACACTTTCTTTCTTTCACTACCCTGAAACAATCATCAACAATCAACAACAACAACTATACACTATCCAATTAAATGATAGACATGATCACTACTTCTTCAACAATGTCCCTGTCATCTTGCCAACCCCTCAGTCATCGAAAAAATACTATACACCACCCCAGCATTCGACCCCTGCCAAATATACTGATTGGTAAATGACAAGACATTCATTTGTTGATAGCCACTATTACTCAATTGAATTCAATCAAAATTCAGTAACAGTAGTGAAAGTTTTTCTTTTTTCAGTATTATTATTATTATTTAACAAATATTTATGGATCTATATATACATTTTTTAAAAAAAACAAATAGACTTCTTTGCTTTGACCATGGGCGATTTATTACCAGTCCGGTATTCACCACGAGGTCATCGAACAGCACCCGAATTACTCTATTTTATCCACAAAGTCACTTCACAGGCTCGTATTTCGTGCCATATTGCCGTAGTCGCCCTTATCTACATTGAACGCTGCAAAGAAGCCTTACCAAGACATGCAGTAGGCAACCAAGGTAAAATATATTAAATTATTAAATCATTAAATTTTAATTTTTTTTTAAAAAATTTAATTTAACTCAACTTAATTCATTGGTTTCTATAGATACTGCACATCGAATTATTGTAGCCTCTCTCTTAATTGCTTCCAAATTCTTACATGGCACTAGATGGGCTACATGCCAACAACAGCCGCCGAAAGAAAATTCAAATTCACAAGACGAAGATGAAGACGAAGAGGTGGATTTGAGACTCTGTGCAGATGAAGATAAACCTTGTTGGTTAACAAATTGTCGAATGGCTGGAATATGTGGCATGTATAGCCTTGAGCAAGTCAACCAGCTCGAGAGATCATTCCTCAATCTTATCCAACATCGGTGTTGGGTTGATGCTGGTGAAGTCCAGGCTTACCTTATCAGACACCGTCAAGATCTTCTGCTCTGACTGACACTAAATAAGGAGAAAAAGAGAAAAAAGAAATCTGGGGGGACAAGAAGGAGAAGAAGAAGGAGGAGGAGGAGGAGGAGGATGTCGATCATGATCGTCTTGTAAATTTCTTTATATGTATATAGCTGTACATATAACACTCCTTTGTGTCAAGTGCTGGTCATTTGAAACCTTGAATTTTTATTTTATATTATTTCTTATTATATTATATTTTAGCTTAGAGAAAAAGAGAAAAGAGAAAAAGCTTGGCCAATGAAATATATTGTGTCTATACACATGTATCATTTTATTTCTTTTCATATTTAGATCATTCGATATAGATATAGGTATATAGATCTTGTTTTTTTTTCTTTCTCTCTCTCTCCTCTTTACCTACCTACATACATAAATATTTCCATATATAGATATTTACTTTCATTCATTCATTCATTAATTCATTTATTTTATATATATTCATAATATCTTATTTTAATAGACAGCATTGGTCATCATCATAATCTTTGTCGATGTTTTGTGAATTTTACCTTTAGATTTTATTGATTAATAAGATTTAGAGCCGTATTACTATGGTAACCTTATTTGATTACTTTGAATTTTAAAGTTAAAGTATCATAATATTCTTTCGATATCTATTGTTCTATTGGATCACACACACACATCTACAAATGCAGAATAACTCAAATATTACGTTACGCAATCATCCACCCATCTATTTATTTATTTTATTTTATTTAATATACATATATAATTGTGTATTTAATTCAATGGCTGCCATGTAGCAGACCCTTGTGTTCGTTGATTCCACTCGTTCCATTCAGTCCAGTCCATAGACGAAGGGATTCCCCAGAATGGATTGTTCGGATTATTCCGGAATACATTGTTGGACAGATCTTGATTACCATGTATTCCAGAAACCATACTATTATTACTATTATTATTACCAGAACCAGTACCAGAACCAGTATCGGAATTATTATTATTAGTAGTAGTAGTAGTAGTAGTAGTGGTATTCGAGGTATTGTGTGATGTTGTAGTAATATCAAGTTGATCAGTCGTTGGTCTTGATATTATTAATGATGATGAGGATGATGATGATGGTAATGATTCTGATGATAATGCTGTTGGTGATGATGATGAGTGTTGATTTAAGGTGGATTGGACTGTCGTTGCTGCTGTTGTTGATGATGATAGACTGACATTGTTCTGTCCAGTAACATTATTGATCTCAAGAGATCGTGGTTCGTTTCCAAAGGGCGGATACATTGAAAACGATGGCAAGAAATCTATCCCAGAAAATATCGACATATTCTGTTGATAAGAATCAAGGTCAGCCATATTCTGTTCTCCTGGAATATTGAATCCAAACTGCTTTAGTGTGAATGCTTCTCCGGTTGATGTAGGCGAAGGTGTAGAAGTGGCCGAATGGGTGTCGAATGGTGAAATCATAGTTTCCGATAATCCGGGTTGAGAATACATATAATTACTATTACTACTATTGTTGTTGTTTGTATATGGCATAGATTGAGGAGGTAATGGGTGAGAAAGTGATTTTGGTGGTGGGTTCATATTGTGTACAGAACTAATCCATGATGAGTTTGAAGGTTGGCGTTGGCGTTGATGTTGTTGATGTTGATGTTGTTGATGTTGATGTTGAGTTTGTCTCAAGATTCCTCGACCGACATCCGATACACGCATCGTTGCAGGTCGACTGGATGATAGTGCTGATGGCGATGATGTCGGCAATTGAGGTGACGGTGATGCTGCCACCGCAGACGACGACGACAGCGACGACGATAATGATAACGATCCCGGTTCTACTTCGGTTTGTCTTTGAATCGAATTCTTTCGGTCATCACTGTGGTCCACAGCGGCAGGTTTCCCGACCTCAATATCCTTGTTGCTCATCACAATACTCAAGAGTCCGTGTAGGCGGCGTGCTGTACTTGACATTTCCTGAAGTCGCTCCACAAGCGCGAGACCCTTGGCCAGATCCGACATCGCAGGCGACGAGATGCGGATGTCAGGGTTCTTGGTGTTGTACATGTGGATCAGGCAGCACTGCAGAACCGGGTACAGACCAAACGAATAAGGGAACATCAGGAAATCTCTGACTTTCATCTGAGACGCAATTCGCATACCCCGAGTTGCTGCACTGGTTCCAATCCTGAATGAGGAGTACGACGGCCGGGCTTTGGTCTTACCAGGTGAGATACGTTCAATAAACGGTCGATGGAGCAAGATCAACAGACTGAAATAGCACAGCAAAATTGAAGCTATTTATATATATAATTTTAAAGTAAGTATTTATAAATAAATAAATAATTATATATATATATATATATATTGGTACCTGAAACTGGTGCCAAATACCCATCCTTTTCATTGAAATCATCAAAATGAGCAGACTCGAGTGCCTTTGGGTAAGCAAATCGCCACTCGGTCAATTCATGATCAAGCATGGATACTATCGCATCACTGCCGTGGTCGTGGCTCACTTTCTGTGCCTTTGGGGTATAAAGGCCTTGGAGGATCCGTCCCAGGATCTCTGATAGTTTAACAAGCTGGACAAACAACTGATAAAACTCCACTCGACCCTCAATTGAGGCTGGTTGGTAGGTGGCTGAAGGAAAGCGGGTAATTTCCTTCCCATCCAATTCTTTGGGTAAATCCAGAACTTCTCTCCAGCTAGCTGTGGCGTCTGGATACCCCACATCATTGTCCTACATAATCATACACAAGCACAGGCACACAGGCACACAGGCACACAGGCACACAGGCACACAGGCACACAGGCACACAGAAAGAGATATAAATATAAGTATAGATTATTTACTTTTTTTTTAAAAAAATAAAATAAATAAATAAAATAAATAAATAAATAAATAAATAAAGATATATATATATTACCTCGTCACGGATACTGATTGGCCTACCAAGAGAAGCAGAATGGAACCTATCCGTGACATACAGTGCCCACCACAATCGTTTACGAGTCTGCTTTTCACTCTCTGATATATCCCATTCTTCGCAATTCCTATTTAGACCAAGGCCTTGTGCCTACAGTAACAGTAATATTAATTAGAGGGTGTTCTTTATATGATTCCAACAAAGATCTTGAGAAAAATCATAATAATTTAAAAGAAAAGAAAATTAAATAAATTATGCTTACCAGTCGAATTGCCTAAAGTACGCATGATGATGATGATGATGATATATATATATATATACAGATGTTAAATTAGTATTATTAGTATTATTGTTTTATGTAATTTCTCCGTAAAATAATATATATATATATATATTATTTTATAGTTGCTTATTAATCAATTACTTAATTAATCAATTGGTTGATTTAATCAATTAATATCTTTCTGTATATATACAAACTTACGAGACCACCCATTAACCAACATGCAGATGACTTTGAATCCATGTTACCACTGTGATTGTGTATCAGAATAACAGCCTGAACTTTGGAAAGTGTGGGATGTGCGGCTGATGCTGATATAAGAGCCTGAGCCTTGTCAAAGAATTGATCTGACCAACCAAGTGGGACATCCCATGCTGTGTCTGGAGGTCTGTATACTTTGCTTCTCTGGCTATGCGATTCGCATTCTACAAACCGAGCCGCAGCACCCAACATTGCGTTGAGAAGTTCTGCAGATGGATAGGTGTCTGCCTGATCACGATATTGTTTCAAGAATTCGGGTTTATTGACGACGGGAAGAACTGGGTGAATATTAGCGAAATAACTGGTAAAAAAAATTATATATATACAATGTAACATTTTGGTTAATTTATCTACAATCACACCTATCTTCTTTAATGTCTTTTTTTTAGGATTGATAATTGTAATGATTAATATTAAGGGTCGGAAATTGTTGGTTTACATTTTCAATAGCCTGTCGCATGTGTGTTGGTCTGCACCAGTAACTGAATAGATCCAATAGTGAACGTCGCTCGGTTGTCGAAACGAATCCGGTATGATGTCAGTGTCCTGAATGTCTGTGATTCCTCCGGTGTCTTTGACTAGTACAACTTGTTTGCCGAATTTTCGAATCTTTTGTCCACTCCAGATGTCATGGCACAGTCCCTCCAATTGCATCTTATTCGAAAAGAATTGAAGGCTCGAAAGTTCTCCGAGATACTGGACTCTATCAGACGACATGCCTTGAGGTCTTTTTGGGTTTGCTGGGCTAAAAAGCACACTAGGTGATCTTGGGGAGTTGGAGTGTACTGAATGATTCTGATTTTGATTATGAAGTTGTGGTTGTTGTTGTGGTTGAGGTGGTGGTAGGACGTATTGTTGGTACGGAGTCGCGATGGGTGAAGGACTAGAGTAAATTTTACTAGGGTCGGCTAATAGAGGCAATGTTGCCTGAGAAGAAGGTATCGGAGGATAACCGGCAGATTTTCCCAAGGCACTTTCAATCTTTCGTAGTCGTTTCTCAAGCGCGTCAATGTACCTGATAATTGGATTAAATAAATAAATAAGTAAATAAATTACGTTTAATTGTATAATATTATACTGAACAAGTTATTAAAAACAAAACAAAAAAAAAGACTATATTTTGTATAGATATTTGCATGTATGTATTACCCTTTTGGTGGACCTCTCTTTTTGGAGCTATATATATATATATGTGTGTGTGTGTAAAAAATTGGTTCATTTTATACATTTATGTATGTATACTAAGTTGTTAGATAAGTATTTTTTTTAAAAAAATATGATAAATCTGTAGGGATAGATATTTACCCGTCATTAAATTCGCAAGAGACGCCATAAGTAAGACAGTTTGAGCATTGACCTCCAGGAGAAGAATAACATTTTACTTTCTTACGTCTACAAAAGTCACTAAGTCGTTTTTATATATACATTGTTTGTTTGAATAATTTAGTAAGACAATTACAATTAGTTCATTAGTCAAAATAAAAAAAGATATTTATTTATATTATTTATATTACCAGGCTCTTGTTATTCGAAGTCGTTTGTTGTCGACCGTTGAAGGGTCTTCATCTTGATTTGTGTTTGTAAAATGCGCATTGGTGTCTTTGGGTGATTTATGTAGTTCCATGTTGAATTGGAAGCCACTTTTGTTGAACCTTTTTTTTAAAAAAAATAAAATAAAATAAAATAAAATATAAAATAGGTCTGGGCTTGAACAGGGTAAATAACTGGGCAGAAAACAAATGTGTGTATAAGAGAGAAGGTTGACATATATATATATATATAAAGACCACGTCATACACACTACATACAAACATATCTAATAACTCATTTATTTTTGGGTTGATTGAATTTACGAACAAGAACTCCGGTTTGCATTATATGGATACGATAGAGAGACAGACAGAGGCCACAAAACGGAGTCAAACTATTCTTTTGGTAATCTTCTTTATCATCATTAGTTAACATTAGTGTAGGTCGATAAGTATATGTTGAATCTTTCTTATTTTATTTTATCTTATCATCAGTATCAGCCATACAATTTCTGTAATACCATATTCTATTCCAAAGAAAAGTACTAGAAGTGTATCATTAAAGATATATCTTTTGTTCAGTTGACTTTACATAACATAGTCTAATGGTTTAAAGTGTATTAAATTGTAGCAGTCACGTACTCTTCTTCTTCTTCTTCTCTTAAATACATATCATATATACACATAGCTAAAATAATATTGACCAAAAGGCATGTGATAGTCTAGTAGAGTATTTGTATATAGATATTCTACAGCTGTAGAACTACCTGGCGTGTTCAATTCTAGTGAAACATAGTGATATGTTGCACAACAACAGCAAATAAAATAAGATATATAAATATATAAATATTTCTCACTCCTATATTCCACTTTTGACCTTTTAAATATTACTATTTTTGAGTAATTTTTCTACTTCTTCTACCATTGAAAAAAAAAATAGGATGTTAACCATCAGGTTGAAACACCAAAAAGATCTGTCGTGGATATAAATAAGGTGCTTGTGGAAAATTGAATACAAAAGAACAACTAAAATATAGATAAGATGTAGATTGTATATCTTACATTAATATCTATCTATAGGGAAGGAGAAGGAAGAGGTCAGTGGATTTCTTTCTAAAAGGTTGGAAAATCATTCAACCATAACGTATAAAGCTACTACAAGCAACCCACATTTTATTTATTTAATAGTAGTAACCTTTTTATTTTACAATGTGCGTTCCACCAAAAGAAAGCTGATATAGTTCAATCGGGTCTTTTTGTCAGGCCAAAATTACATTCCCAGTTACAAACTGTCCAGACCCTGTACAAATACACTCCCCAAACAAGAAGGAGAGGCAAAGTTCGAGCCTTTAGCTGTATACATTTAAATGTTTAATATATATATATATATATATATATTTCATTGGTTTGCTCGGTTGTTTCTTTGTTTATTTAATAAAAGAAACGAAACTGGAGAGCCTAATCATTAATTAATATATAGAATTATACCAAGTAATTGTTAATCTTATTATTTCTTACTGTTGCCTTTTCTTCTTCAAGCGAAAGACCTGAATCGTTTGCAATACTTGTTACACGATCTCGACGACAGTTTTCTCGGTAAAGCAAATATCCTGTCAATCCAGAAAATAGACATCCAAGGACAGACACGACCAGATTAAAGGAGTTTCCAAAATCTAGTTAAATATATATATAATTTTCTTTTAAAGAAAAAAGTCATAATAAACTGTAAAACTTACGATAATGAGGGGCATCAACAAGTGGATAAAGGAAGGAAGCCACTATACTGCCTCCATTACCTATCATCACCACCGCAGCTACAGCTACAGCTCGAGTTGTAATGTCTGGGAAATTTATGCTTGACCAACCAACCACAGCTGGAGCTAAAATATAATAAAATAAAATTAGATTTGAGTTTTTGATCAGTAAGCTTAAATGTACATCTTTATATACATCTTTATATACATATATTAGGTAGACTGACCTTGGAGACCAATTCCAGCAGGAATAATAAATAGTGATCCATAAAGTGCTATATAGAAATATTATAAATAAAATATAATACATGATGATGTAAAATGGAAATATCGATTTATAAAACTCAAACTTACCCCATGTGTTGTGCAGGGTGAGAAGTAAAAGGTACCCAATACCTATCAAAACAAACCCTGCCATGACCAGCGGTGCCCTAGCCTTACACCTGTCTGCTAAAGCACCACCTAGAATCACCATAAATGTCGACACAAGAGCAGGTGGTGCAGTCAAGAGCTGTGAAGTTAATACAGGAAATCCAAATCCTATATAACAAGTGTTGATTATTGATTTAGATATAAAATGAACACAAAAGATAATAGTATCAATAGTAAACCGTTCTATTTTCTTATAATCAACCAACCATCAATAATTGTAGGAATAAATACACCAATACTGGTGATATTGATGGCACTCAGGATATAAACCATACTGAACATCCACATTTTCCAATCTGTCAATACAAGCCACAGGGTTTTGAAAGTAATGGGCTCTTGACGATTATCTGCATCTGACTTTCCTTCAGCCAGACGCAAATGCTGGATTTCCTTTTGTTCATCTGTCAGCCAGCTCACCGAATCAATTGTGTCAAATAGACAGATGTACGAGATCACGCTGAGCAGTATAGTAGGAACACCTTCGATAATAAAGAGATATTGCCAGCCATGTAGCCCTCTTTTGCCGTCGAGAAATGAAGTTGCATATGCGAGTGGTCCAGACACAATTCCAGACAATGAAGCCATACAGAACAGGCATCCGATACGAAGACTGAGTTCACGGGGTTTATATACACACGACATTTGATAAAGAATGCCAGGGATGTATCCACTCTCAGCCGCTCTGAAGAAAAATAAAATGAAATAAGATTATATATATATATATATAAATAATCTATCTATATGTATAAACTATTTCTTCTTTTCTTACCCTAATAAAAGACGACAGGTTAATAGTCCCTCAAAATTACTAGAGAAGGCCATTGTAAGAGTTACGGTTCCCCAAACAGCCATGATGAGTGAGAGCCAAAGAACAGGACTTGTTCTGGTGAGCATGATATTGGAAGGTACTTCGAACAGAATCTGTTTTTTTTTAAAAAATAAAAATAAAATAATTATATACTATCTTTTTTATCTATGTAGTGTTTGAATATATTTAAATACTTACATATGTAATATAAAATGCTGATATAACAATACTCAATTGAGAAGGTGCAATCTAATGAAAATTAAAACATATATAAATGTCTTTAGTTGATCCTTTTCGAACTATGATAATAATCAGTAACTTACATTGAGATCTTTATGAATTCCACCAAGCCTATTTTATTTATTTGTTTCAATATATAGCTCTGGTATTATGATTATGATTATTTAAAGTATTCATTACACTCTATAGACATAGCTACACCTATATATCTATATTCTTACATGGCATTTCCAATGTTTGCTCTATCAAGATGATCTGTAAAGTAAAAGATGCAAAAGAGTGGCATTGTATGAAGATCCAAGGCACGTAAAATGTGTTTCTCTTGGATTTGACGATTCGATAATTCCTCTGTTGTGTACACCTTGGAGTTTCCTTCAAAGTCTGTGATAGGACCTAAAGGTGTTGAATTTTGCTTTGATCTCTGGGACATCAAATATATATATATATATATATATATACACAAAAGTAGCTGTAAAGAAGAAGAAAAAGAAATAGTTGAATAAATTTATTATTTTACTTTTCTTTGAAACAAAGTCAAATTAAATAAAGCAATATATCCAGAAAGCTTGTGTTTTGCTATTGTTCCTGACAATTTGACTAGCAACTTACACCTTGAGAAAATAAAAATAAAAGGCTAATAGATAGAGAAGACAAAAGGAGATAAAGTAGTAAATTACGTTAATTAATAAAAGGTAAATGATAAGAGTAAGAGTAAGAATATAGGTATAGATGTATAGATTTCTTATATTTATTTTTGCCTATTTTTTTTTTGGAGTGTCTTATAGAATTACCTTTTCTCTCTTCTTTTTCCAATTGTTCTTATGCTATTTTATTTGGTTTTGCCACACCATTCCGCCAAAGACTATACTCCTTTTACTCCCTTCTTTCTATAATCCCGTCTTCTATTCATCTTGACTTGGTGTGTTTAAGACAGGAAGAGAAAATGTATGATTTGAAATCAAACGTAATATATGTCGTCTTTTTCTTTTCTTTTTTGTTTTTATTATCCATAATGCTATAAATATTCTTGCTTATATGATTTTTTACATCAAAACTAACAAACAAGAGAAAATTGACTAGGGAGACATTCTAGAGCCCTTGCTTCTCTTTTAATATATACAAGGGGCAAAGTCACTAATAGAGATCAAAAGGGAAAGATGAATATAACAAACGTAAATCATTCTTTTACTAACAGCATCAATAATCATAGTCATAGTTACAGTTACAGTTCTAATAGACAAATTTATTCTCAGGGATCATATTCAAGGCATATGTCCCAGACCACTTTTATCCTATCCTATCATATAGTAATCATATTTATATACTTAAAGGAGAACGTAATATTTATAAGCTTCTTTTTTGTTTGTATCTTTCTTCCCTTCTTGCAAAGATTATATTTAAAATAATTATAATAATTTCCAAAAAAGAAATGAGCATATTTTGTCTATGAATACACGATAGACATTGGAGCTAAAGTTAATCTGACTGTTTAAATCTCACCAATCAAGGTAATACTAACAATAAAATCATTATATTAGTGTGAGCTTATTCAGTATATATATATATATATATACATGCATATGAATGTGAGTCTATGAGTGTCATATATCTTTTATATACAAAAAGCATATCAAATATATTATGTACAGCTTTAAATAAAAGAAGAAAGTAGGAGCAAATGCACATAATCTACGTGTTGTAAAAAAGACATGATTGAGAATGATGATTTCCAAACAGCTTTTTTAAGTCCTCGATAACCATCAAAGGTCCATGGTTTTGTTAGCAGACCACTTTTTTTTTAAACAAAAGATGAGCTAGAATGGTGTCAGATTGTATCAGAGATTACGAAACAAAGAAAACTATAATGCTTTGTTCAAAGGCCACAAACAACATGCGCTTGTCTCTGTTCCCAAAACAGGCAACACCTGGGCTGCGGAGATGATGTAAGCCCCGAGGACAGATTCACTTTTCTCTCGCTCTCTCTTCACAAAGGCGGGTTCTTCTTATTCTTCTTCTACATCTTATCAATTCATCATGTTTTCAAAACCCAACGCATTCGAAGAGATTGTCAGTAAGTAGAGGTCATTAAATAGGCTGCTAGAATTAAGATATCTGCCTTTGAATTAAACTAACTGTCTATTCACTATTCTTTATATACGCACCAATATATATATACTTTTTTTTAAAAACAACAACAACAACAACGTCTTATTAGTCTCTGCTACAGACGAAAATCTCACAGCAGAAAACTGGGAACTCATTCTTAGTGTCTGCGACAAGGTGGCTGGCACTTCTGCGGAGAGGTGAAGCTTTCTTTAGGTTTTACGTTTTTAATTTAGTTTAGTTTAATAAAATGTATTTTATTTTCTTCTTCTTCCTTCTTTTTACATTTTCAGAAACAAAAAAAAGGCTGGGCGTTTAATCTTAATTAGTCTTAGCATTTTCAATCTCAAAACTTATACATCTCTTTGCCATTCTAGTGCCCGAGACTGCATCGCCGCTCTTCAAAAACGACTCTTGAGCCGCAATGCCAACGTACAGCTTTACGCCTTAACCGTAAGTTTATCGCACGCACCAACCCACGCATATATATATATATATATATATATATATATAATTATTGATACACACTGATCTCGCTTGACTTAATATGTAATATTGACTAAAATCCATTTTTTTAAAATTAACCTATTACCAGCTGGCAGAGGCACTTATTAAGAACACAGATATTACTGTCCATCGAGAAATTTCATCGCGTGCCTTTACCAACACACTGACCAAAATTGTTCATGACAAGGTAAATATATATATATATATAAATGAAAAACCTTGTGTTATTTGAAAGTTTGGCTTATACAATTACTAAATATACATATAATTTTATTATTATTATTATTATTTATTTATAGACAGTACACGAGCGTGTGAGAAAGAGAACACTCGAATTCATTCAGTTTTGTTCATTCGAATTCAGAGCCGACTCTTCTCTTGGTCTTATGAATTCTGTTTACCAGTCACTACGTGCAGAAGGCATCCAATTCCCATCTCCTCAAAAACCAAAGAAAGAATTTACTCAGGTATATATATACATATATATATATGTGTGTGTGTATAGTGATTCAGCATATATAATGTTTAAAGTGCCGCAAGACTCTAAAGTATCATTGTACTTATTTTGTGGTTCTTGTTGATTTCTTCTTTAGTCCGAACTGGATAAGCAAAAAGAAGAAGAAGAGTTTCAACTGGCATTGGCATTGTCTCTATCGGAAACTGAGAATCGAAAAGCATTCAAACGCTCTACAACAATCGTCAAAGAAGATGCACCAAAGGTTAGACAATTTTTCCACCTGGAACATTTTTATTATTACACGTATACATACATACTTACATACATATACGAATTCCGTATGCGTGTGTATCTGTGTGTCTGTGTGTATGTGGCAGTGTATTCATTATATATATATATCTTAATTAATCAAATCAATTAACAGCCAGTAGAAACCAAAGAATCGGGACCAAAGATATCGCGCGTTCGTGCGCTGTATGACTTTCAGCCAACAGAACAAGGGGAGCTTGGATTTCAGAAGGGAGATATCATAAGAGTACTCGAAAGCGTTTATCGTGACTGGTGGAAGGGTGAATTGCGTGGAAATACAGGCATATTTCCAGTCAACTATGTGGTGAGGATATATATATATACAAAAGTATATTTAAATAGTGTGTTAAACAATTTATTTTGGATGGCGTTAGGAAAAAATTGTTGAGCCTTCTTCGGCAGATATAAGAAAAGAGGCACAGACAGAAGAGGAAGTTATCGGTGAACTTCGTAACGTTGAACGCCTCTTGGAAATATTAGCCAACATTGACCCTCGCAAGGACGCATTTTCTGAAAATGAAGAACTTCAGTCGCTCTACAACAGCACATTGGCTATTAGACCAAAGTTGGTACACTTGATCGAGAAGTACAGTCTGAAGAAAGGTAAAAGAGAGATTAAGAAAAAGAGAGGGCGAGTGAACGAACGAAAGAACGAACGAACAAACGAAGACTATTTTTTTTCTTGTAAATTCTACGCATTAAAACATTTACTTGCTATTAAAAAAAACTTTAGATGAGCTTGTGACATTGAACGAAAAGTTTTTACAAGCACGGACCATGTACGATAGAATGCTCGGTAGCTCTATTGCTAGATACTCTGCTCCGGGGAGTGAGTATAAGCAGAACTGTGGTTAAGGATCCAGTAGATACTAACACCAGACTTTAGTGAACAATGGATATCCACCTGCTCAACCTTATGGCTATCCTGACCAACAGCCAGCTAATAACATGCCTTCAGATAGCTACTTTGGCTATCAAGGATACCCACCTTACTCTCAACAGCAACAGCAACAACAGCAACAACAACAACAAACTCCAAAACAGCCTCAGCAGCAATTGCCTTATGGATATCCACAACAAGCAGCATCTCCAACTGCTCGTCAGCCGCAGCAACAGCAGCAATCCCCTTATGGTTATCCTGATCAACAGCAGCAGTATCAGCAACAGCAGCAGTATCAGCAACAGCAACAGCAACAGCAACAGCAACAGCAACAGCAACAGCAACCTCCGCAGCAACCCCAACAGCCTCAGCAGCAACCCCAGCAGCCTCAACAACAGCAATATCCAACTGTGCAGCATTCTACTACTCCCACCTATGATTATTCTTCAGATCGTCAGGGTTATTCTGGTGATCAGAATGCACAAGCTCCATATCCTTCTCCCCATCCAGCATCTTCTGCCTATCCTTCTACTGGATACTCTCATGGTGTTAACAATGGAGAAAATCAAACCCCTCCTTATGCTACAGTCTCACCTGGTGGACAATATGGAGGATACCCTCAAGATCCTTCGTCAGTCGGCCCCACTGGTGGATTTATCCCATCATCCAATCAGCCTCACTATGGCTACCCGCATGCTGCTGATCGGTCTTACTCCACTACCAACCCAGCTTACGCTCAAAACTACCAATAACTCAGAGCGACAATTCATCGGCCAGTGATAGGAGAGAGGATATTTCGGATTAAATCAGTTTCATTATTTTAAATATCTAAAAAACAACAGCAGCAACAACAACAAATAAATCCATTGAAATAAAAAAAAACAAGCAGATATATATATATATATGGGAAATGAGAGGTGTGCTGACAAGAAAGCCACTTTTACATATGAACAAGCTTATTAGAGGTGTTAAGTGTGAATGGCAATCTTTCCTGCCAATTCTCCTTCTACGCGGCTATTTAATTTCCAGATAGTTTCACAGATTTCATTGTGGACGCCATTTGGTGATGATTTGAGGTAAAAATCTAGGGATTCTTCAAATTGTTGATCCAAATCATCACTAAATTTCTAGTAATCATTGAGCTTATTTCCTCCCTTTTCTTTAAAAAAAAATAGCTAAGAATCTCTTCTATATACTTGCTTAATAATGTAAGCCCTCAAAAAAATAAGTTTATTAATGTCTATTCTTGCATTTTTTCTTTAGTAGAGAACGCGTTGGGATGTGATAATTTCCAGGTTGCTAAAAATAATAATAATTAGTCAAAATTGACCACAGCTGATAAGACCATAATACTGTGACAAATATAAGAAACATACATCTTAATAAACTTACAATTATTAGATAATATGACAGTCAAATCCTGATGATATTGTTTCAATTCCAATTTTTTTCTTCCCTTTTTCTCTTATGCGTTTTGTCAAAATAAACTTCACTTTCTATATGTTTTCTTCATATAAATTTGCTTCAATAACCACTTTAAACTTCTTCATCGATTTCTTTACTTTTCCTTTTGTTTTATTTGCAACCACCAATTAAGTCCTCTATAAAGTTTCATCATCTCTTTAGCAAACTCTTGCTCACACTGTTTTCGGCGGGTTTTATTGTTTTTATAATAAAGTTTTCGATCAACCGTAACAATGTGTTTCTAATTCTTTTATATAACTACGTATCTCTAATCTCCAAAGTATGTACTCATACCCTGAAACCATCTAAAAAAAACTAAAAAATAATGTCAATATCTCGGAATGCAACCATTTAAAGTTCACTAGACTTATTTTGAAGGGGTAAACATTGATAGAGATCCTGTCACAACTCTTTAGTAAACTTGTTTTATTAGCAGATGACCAAATCGTATCTCGGGAAAAGAAACTGGATAACATCAATAAGAACACTATAATTCATAGTAAATACAATAGCAAGCCTTTATAAAATTAAAACAATATCTTTCAGTAAATATGATCTATAATTATAATCAGACAAACCCATGAACTGGAGGTGAACCAAGACTTCACCAAATGAAAAAAAAAATCTGCGCAAGTACCTCCTTTAGTCTCAAAACTAACTCTTTTGTCTCAATTTTATTTTCTATTTGTCTAAAAATTACTTTTCGTTCGTCCATAAAAAAAACTATAATAGTCTGAATTCAAAGTAGCAACACGGTATTGGACGGCTGTACAGACCTAGACTTTAAGTCTACGACTGGTGTTTTTTTTTATATGGGGAAGTACTGTTACCGTCTTTGAGCTTCGTCGGAGATTACACGCCAGAAGACCCAACTGTGACGTATTCGCGCGTTGCCATACACCACTTTTTGCCTTTACATCAAAAAAATTTATCCGCGCGTGTTTTTATTGTCATTTGTCTGCCAACATGGAGTAAGAATATAGAGACTGCTGCTGCTGCTGCTGCTGTTGTTGTTGTTGTTGTTGTTTTTGTGGCTGTTAGACAAAATGAGTAGCGCCTATTTTGTATATGTTACATAAATAATGAACAATAAATAAACAATAAAAAGTCATTGGATTTTCATCGTTTTCTTTATTTGTGATATAGCCAAGGCTCATCCTCTTCCTCCCCTGAAAACATTCCCGTTTCTCAAAGGGTAATCAAGAAACCTGTGAGAAGGCTGAACAGAGACTCGTCTTTGATTGGATCTACGCCTATGCCTTCATTTGGTTCTGTGGAGCCTCCTCAAATGAATAATCCGGGTCAACCACCACAATCATTCTCCTTCAGTTTACCTTCTAATCAAACTGCAATGAATTCTAAGCCATCGGTTAACTTTAGCTTTGGAGCTCCTGCATTCCAAACGCCCCCAGCTACTAATACATTTACGCCAAGTTCCAGCAGTAAGCTGAATTTCTATTCTTCTTCTTCTACTTTGTTTTTCAATGACATATATCCTTAATCTCATGGTTTCTATTTCTCTTATTTGTAGCACCGTCTTCGAGCACATTATTTTCTTCTACACCTACATTTACCCCACCTACTAATAAACCCGATGGTCCTCCTGCAACTACTTTCAACTTCGGAAGTAGTCCATTTAGTGCCACAGCACCCCAACAAGGTAATTCACAATGCAATCAATTGACCTCATTATTATTTTCTTTATTCTTATTCTCCGTGTCTTCCTATCTTCTCTTCTCCTTCTCTTCTTCCCCATAGATAATTTAGCCTCTATTGTACCCCAGTCACCAACCTTGTTTCCTAGCCAAGCTCAATCAACACCACAAGTTACTGTAACAGCGGTTGACTCTAATGCAGAACATGATAATCAAGCCACAGACCAATTTTCATCAAATAGCCGTAAACGCAAGGATGTTAACCCACCTTTACAAAGGGCAGATAGCAAGATGCGTCACGGCCCATCGCCTCTTTCACTATTTTCGTTTGTTCCAGCCCAGGGCTCTACACCAATAGCACCAGCATCATCAACACCACCAGGTACTACATCACAAATTGGAGGATCACTATTTGGAAAAACACTGACCACGACACCTCCGACACATACGCTAACATCTACCACACAAACACAATTACCACAAACAACAACAACTACAGCAACAGCGACATCGGCCGCACAAACGCACGCACCTCCAACATTCACTAACACAAATACAGATACAAACCTAACAACAAGCACAAGCACGCCACTCTCTAATAGTATTTTGCCTACAACAGAAGCCAACAAAACATCAAAATTAAGCTTTGGTAGCTTTGGTAAGAATACAGAATCTACTCCAAAGATCACCGAGCTTCCTTCAAACTCTTTGCCAACACCACAATCCAATACTCCCGTATTTTCATTCTCGGCTCCTAAGCAGAAGGACACTACAGCTAAGAACGATACGTCTGCAGACAAAGAGCCCAAAAATCCTGAAGAAATGATGAAAAATGTGTTTAAACCTGGCCCTCCTAGTGAGTGGAAGGTGACAGAGACAACAAAAGTGGCTGGATTACCTACTTTTGGTGAAACCTCATCTGGGGAAAGGGATAGTCTGTAAGTGGATTGACTGTATTTGATAAATATAAGATATTGTGTATTGTGTTATTACGCATACACACACACATATATATATATATATATACTTATTTCTTTCTTTCTTTCTTTCTTTAGTTCCGGAAATACCTCAACATCAGCTCCTATAATTAGAGCGCCAACTACATTACAACCTAATATCAAACAGAGGGAAGATATCAAACGGTCAACAAGATTCTCTGAGCTTCCACCCGAAGCAATGGAAGAACTTGTTGATTTAGAACAATTCATTTCAAAAAGCGTTCACATTAGCGACATGCTTGATGCACACATACTTTCCCGTAATAATGGATCTATCGAATACATTAGACAGCAAGCTGTGGAGCTGAAAGAGGTACCGATTATAAACAACAAAAAATGCCATTGTTAGAAAAATAGGAAAAAGGGGCTTTAGTATTAGTATTAGTACTGCTATATTTTCTTTAGCACAGGCTTACATATGTATGTATGTATATATATGTGTGCGTTTTTCTGGGTCAATCTTTAGAAAACGGAAATCTTGAAATCTTGTATATCAGGAAAAACGAAAGAATTGGATGAACTTTCAAAAGACATTGCATACCAGCGGGCCAACACCAACATGGTCAAGCTTTTCCTTGACAATCCATCTCGCCCAGACGATGCCTTCACAAACTGTGCCCACTGGGACTATTTCATTAGACTTGCATCTGATCTACAAAAACGGACGCGAGAGTATGGAAAGACAGTTCAAATTATCGAACAGGCCATCAATAATTTTAGTGAAAATGATGTCTACATGCCTGCCGATATTAAATATACAATGGAAAGACAGAACCGGGAGTTCATGTCGTTAGCTGCTCGAGTAGTTGATTTACACGAAGAAACCGAGAATTTAAAGTCCAAGATAAAGACGACAATCAATGGAGATATAGAGTATTGAAACTATCCGTGTTTTTCCTTTCATTTCATTTCATTTTCTCCCCCTCTTCCTCAGTCGATTGCACTTATTTCTAAAAACAAGTCAACGAATACAACTTTTTTTTTTACTATCATACATATTATTAAAATCAACCGGCCCTGTATATCACATGACTTACGATCGCACTTTTAAAACAGTTAAAAAGAAACAGAGATACTCTGCACATGAGTTATATGGAATCTAATCATCTTTCGATTGCATTCAATATCTCAATTATTGATAAATCTCTATTGTAATATAAATCATGTCCATATAACAAAATGTCTTTACTATTAAATCACTGTTTGTTTTGAACATCTTTAAAATTTTTTTTTTCTTATTACTACCAACTATTATTATTATTATACTTATAAATTATATATAAATAAATAAAAATCAGGTCATTTTTAATTGTATAGTAATTGTAATAAAAATATATCGATCTAAAGAATAAAGAGAATATATGTATATATCATTTTAGCTATTACCAAAAGCTATTCAATATAAATAATAAATAAAAATAAAATAAAAATAATGCTTCCTTTGTATGTTACAATTTTGCTACGCCCTGATACCTGGATTTGGATTAATTAACAACAAAAAAAGAAAAAAGTGTTGGCTATTACTACTTTTTAATTTAAAAGCAAAGATCATTAATATTATATACTACATTTTATAATAATAACTGATAAAGTAAAATGAAACATATGATTTTGCATTGACAATTGGATATTCAAGAATTTATATATTCTGTTCCTTCAAGAAGCTATATTGAACCATACACTTTCTGCAGCATTTGTAATCTGATACACATGTTAATTCCAAAAGGTTAACCCACGCTACTTTGACAACTGACTGTTCCTTTTGTCACCTTACTTTTATTACTTTAACAAGACATTCTAATGAACTTTTACAGCTATACTCTACTTAATTTAGCTACTATTACTTGAAGAAGTCATCTTACAGCGCCTTGACACATGGATTTTACTCTATTATTCAATATTACTTGAAGATATTCTCTTGAATTTATTCTAATTATCATATTACTTCAGCACATTGTTGATTTACATATGATTCAAATCTATTTTAAATTATGACAAGTCTGTCATTATTGGTACAATCGTTATTATGAAAAAGAGTATATATAGGGTTCCTGTAAAGTTCATGTCTTTCAGAAAAATAATAATCTTACATATATTCTTTACTATTTCTCTATCTCCATTTACACTTGAATTTAGCTTAATTACAAAACCAATTACAATTTATCAAACATCAATATGACTCCTTCTGGACCTATTTGTGCTTCATGTAAACAATTGGGTCACAGCAGGGGATCAAATTTTTCTTGCCCTTTGAATCCAAGACACAAAACTCTCTTGATCCCCCAAAAGAGAACCAGTGATAATCTCTCTGCCCAAGAAGAATATCAAGCAGAGAGTATTAGAGATAACATTAAAACAGATTACTTTAATTCATCGGATCGACTTGCATAGTTTCTAACTTATTTGCTTTCATCTGCATTTACATGTTTATTTAGCTGGTGCTTTGAGACCAAGGGTTGAAGCTGTCCAGAGTTGCGTGGTGCTCACCATAGCAGAAATCATTGCTCTCTCCTGTGCTGCCCAATATCCTGCAGAGAGTAGTTGAGGTAAATAAATATAGCGTAATTGATTAATATTCAGCAAAAATTCTAATCATTTTTTCTACTCTATTTTTTTCTCTATTTAGCTGCTGCTTCAAGACCAAGAGTTGAAGCTATCCAGGATTCTGCTGTGCCCATACAACCATTGTTAATTGATCTCTCCTTCACAGAACAATATACTGCAGAGAGCAACAGAGATAATTTTTAAAATTATATATAAATTGCCACAATTATTAATTATTTTTTAATATTTTTATTATAGATCTAACTGCCGCTTTTGAGGCTTTTCAAGTTTCTGATGTTGAGAGAGTCTTGGATTTGACTACCACCACTGCCACTGCCATTGCCACTGTTATTCCCCGCTGTTCCAGCTGTAATGGAATTGGTCACCAACGGAGTAACAGCTTGCAGTGCCCTAACAACCAAAGGAACTGCAATTTTGTCCCCGGCCAGTTAACTACCACTCACAACATGGCCCGGCGTACTACCCCCTCTGCAATGGTACCCGCCTTATATGCAATGACTTTGGCAGATATGTCATCAAGGCTACCATTGTAACTGGATCAAGTGCTGGAAAGGTGGTACTTATCCCCAGAATCAAGCTGAACCCAAATGGATCGACCATGTCCATTGAGTTCAAGCGATGTCAATTTCCAGTCCACCTTGCCTTTGCCATGACTATCAACAAGTTCCAAGGCCAGATTCTTGACAAAGTTGGTTTGTACCTTCCCCACCATGTCTTTGGTCGTGGGCAGTTGTATGTCACTCTCTCTCAGGTCCGAACTCCAAACTCAGTAAAAATCATGGTTGATATGGGCAGTATTTCTACCGAAGCAACCAGCAATGTCTATAAACAATGTTGTTTATAATGAAGTGCTTTCTAGAAATTAACTAATCTGTTCCATATCATATGCTTTCTGCCCTATGTCTTTATCCAAATATGGCAATCTTTTTCTATATGCTTTATTTTTATTTTTGTATTTTTTATATTCATGTTATTTCTGCTTAGACTTATCTTTATCTTAATGTTTTTTTTTTTACTTTTTTTCAAATATTTTAATAATTTTTTTTTAAAATTGTCAATACCAATTGTGTATATGACAAAGTATAACAATTTCCTTCTTTTTTGAAAATATTAAAATACAAACCCCCAAAAAAATATGGCTGCAAGATATATTCCTTACTATTATTTTATTTTTATTACTACAATAAACCTTTATAATAACAAAATCCAAATAAACTCAGACTAACGGTTTTTTCTTTCTTTTCATAGTATGGTTATTTCTTCTCAATGCAGTCCCGCTGGGGACGCCAGTCTACCTCGTTTATATATAAAATAGCACACATAAGCATAGGAAATAAATCAGGCCAAAGATATCAAACTGGCATTTCGTATATAGAGTACAAAAGAGATATATAAACTGGAAAGTAATGTATTTTGTTTATGTTAAGCATCATCACTACGGGAAAAAAAGTGGGGTTTTATGGCTGCTTTATGGCGGTTTGACAAGGCAGCTTTGTGGTGGTTTTTTGCCAAATATCCACTTTGCCCCTGGAGTTTAAATACATATTACAGATCTCCGCTTTCTGATTCTCTTTTGTTGGCTCTTCTATTGGACAGCGTTTCATTCTTTATTATATAAAGTATATTATATAATCGATTACTTTTATTGGGTACTCTCTTAAATGTCATTTATTACTTTAATATTTTAGCTTAGAAAGGAATTCTATTGGACACTAGTAATTTTTTTTTAATGTTACTTTTATGAAAACAGTTTTTTATTGGATAATATACATGTAAATGTTTGATCATTTTAATAAATACAAATTTTTATTGGTTATTACAATAGAAGATCATTTTTATTAATCATTTTTATTGGTTGTTATGACAGAAAAAAAATCATATTGTTCATTTTATTGGTTATTATGACAGAAAAATAAATAATATTGTTTATTTTATTGGCTGTTAAAGCATACAAAAATCTATAGATACATTTTATTGGCTATTTACTATTTAATATTCTAGGTTTTCATAGTAAAATATCCTATTCAATTCCACTACACCGGATTACTTACGAGACTGTAATCTTTTATGGCGGTCCCTCCAGAGATGTGCAACTCTTGCAGTTGATGCCCAATTTTCCGAGACATCTAGTGAAGTCTATACCAGAATCCTTCATTATATTTGCGTGCCTGGCACACATTTCTTTCTTAAGTGCTACTGTTATAGACTCCCAGCTAGGATTAGGACCAAGAGCGATCACCGAAGGATGGGCAGCCATATCATCACATATAAGCTTTGTACACATATTGAGTGTGGCCTTTTTGTTACTTGTTACTTCAATGCCAAGGTCTTCACTTATCATCTTGAAGATATGCTTTAAAGTTATTTCATGGAATATGCTCACCGGTTTGCGGATGGTATTAGCACTAAACTATTAAATGACATATTAATATATATTCAACTCGTTTTATTTTTTGTCTTACAATGGCAGAGACAGAAGGCAAAGTGTGTTGGTTGGAAATGTTTCTATTCTCCAGTTGGCTCTGGAGAGCAGTAATCTCCAAATTCAAATCTTTGATGCTCGTCTTCATTTTGAGCTTCAACTCTTCGATCTGTGCCTTTCTTTCAAGTTTGGCCTTTTCTTGGCCTGCCTTCAAAGATAGTATCTCATTGTACATGGCGTGTAGCAAAGAGATGGAATTTTTATCTGTGTTATTCATGTTGAGAGTTTGGTTTACCTGAGAAAAAGGATTGTTGTGAAAGAAAGATAAAGGCCAAAAAAATTTTCTATTGTCTATTATTAGTTTCATATAAATGAGTTTAACCTATTGGTCCAGCCAATATTATTATTGGGCTACTGTAGTTCTAATAACAGCTATTATGCAATGTTTTAGCTTCTGTTCCTGAGTTTATATTTGTATCATCTATGTCATTGCCTACTTGTAGTCATTAAGTCTATACAAATCTCAACACTATTAAGTATAAAGACATATTATTTAAAAGGAATTATCAATATTCATACCTTTATTCTTAAGTGTTTATTTCCAACCTAAAAAATGTCTCCAAATTCAATCCTTGATAGTTACCAATGCAATCAATGCAAAGAGTGCCACACCAATTTAAAAAAAGCCAAGAGTTGTAGAGCTCACTGCTTTAAGAACCGTCATAGAAGACATAATGATATCCAGACTTCACAAACCACGCCTGTTCCTGGACAAGTCAGTGTTGTTTTGAACACTGTCTCGAACGACATTATTGAGTAAGACTACAAATCACATACATACTATTAGAAAGTGTAATTAATTATATTGTTACCTTCATAAACAAGCAGAGAACGTGCTGATGCAATCGAAGATCAGATCATGGATAGACTCAACAGCGAAGATAACGATGATCTAATTATGAATATCTTCAGTAATGATGATAATGATGAGTCTATGGTAAGATATATATATACATGTCTTATTATATAATGCTAATTATTATTTATCTTGTTAAAGTATGATGCAGAACTTAGCAATTACATGGATATCATTGAAAACGAAACATCTCCTTTGGTTTTTGACTTCAGTCAGCCTGCATCTACCCTTGACAAAGACGATGCAAAGAACCTTGAGTTTCTCAAGATCATTAAGGATTTTGGTATCTCCCGCAATGCCCATTAAATGATAGTCAAGCATTTCAACAGCATTTTGGAAATGTCGACTTGTATTACATACAGAGCATGTACTCCTCATCTTGGCAAAAAGCTTTTGAAGCGTTTCTCTGGTGTTGAAGAGACAGTCCATGATATCTGTCAGAGGGGATGTATGCTCTTTACCAGTCCATCCCAGACTGAGTGCTCCAACTGTGGACAAAGCCAGTACAAAACAAGACGTAGAGAAACTGAGGGTGGTGATCTGGTTGCTGCTGCCACGATGATACAGCTTCCATTGGCGAGACAACTGGCTCTTGCATTAGCCAACGAGAATACAAGAGCAGATATGCATTACCGCCATAATCATGAGTCAAGCTCGGATGGAAGTAAAACTGATGTGTTTGATGGCCAGGTTTACCATCAAGCGAAACATCTGTTTTCTGGAAAAGATGACATTGCAATTTCGTTGCCTGTTGATGGATTCACACCACACAATGTTCCTGGTTCTGTAACAATCCTCTATGCCACCATTCTTAACCTGAATCCCATGGTCTGGTATGAGAGAAGCAGAATGCTCCAGATCGCAATGATCCCAGGTCTAGGTGCACCTGCCAATTTATAGTCATTCATGGAATCAACGATGAAAGAGCTCCTGGTGTTGGAGAGCGAAGGGATGGTTGTCAAGACACCAAACAAGACCATTCGTGCCAAGATACATGTCTTAATGGTCACTGGTGACATTCCCGCCTTAGAAAAGTTGGCATGTCATTCTGGACATATGAGCAAAGACGATTGCTGTATCTGTCATGTTGTTGGCCAATGTCCCAAGCACGAACAATACTTCAGAACTTTACTCAGCACCAATATCCGTATGCTGGAAAGTTTTCAGAATTTTTCCCAGGCCAGTGCATCCAGCCGCAAAGGGTTAAATGGACAATCCCCTCTGGTAACATTGAAGATATTCTCTAGACCATTGTTTTTTGCCCTTGATGAAATGCATGGACTTTGCCATGGAATAAGCAAGCAGGTCTGGGGTTTGGTTTCTGGTACCTATGGAACAGACCATTGTTTTGCTCTTTCTTCTGGTGTTCAGAAGGAGATTGGTACAGCAATGTACAAAACAAGAAATACCATCTCTACATCCTTCCATAGCAATTGGAGGGATGTATATAAGAACCCCGGGTCGTTCAAGGCTGTCGATTAGGCAGACTTTCTTCTGTTTGTCGTCCCTATGCTGGTGGCAGAGCGTATTGGAGATGCAACTGCCTGGAACGCGTTACTTGGCTTGGTTCAAGTATGTAACCTACTCATGAGCTGGGAGTTATCAGCAGAGGAACAAACCTCTATCAAAAAGTATATTTTAGTAAAAGCTATGTGTTATTCTATTATTTATTCTAACTATTTTTCTTCAGTAAACTTGAAATATGGAACATGTACCTGGAATTGCTACTTACAAGTGGAAAAATCAAAATCAATATTTTCACTATAAACCAGCATCTTCTTCAGCACTATCCTCTCATAATTGATGCATACGGCCCACCTTATGCATATAGTGCCAGATCCGTGGAATGGGCAATCGGTGAATACTCAAGGGCTATCAAGAGTAATTCTGCTATAAATGTTAACACTGGCAATATCATGTTTGGCTTAGCACAAATACGACAAGCAGAGGCTGGAGCCACTATTATGATTACAGAAGCAAGAACAGCACAACACTTACAATATGAAGATTCCACTGCTGGTTGGCCATTGACAGATGAGGGTGAGCGTGTTGGTGCTGGGTCTGATATTGAGTTCTGGGGGCCTTTGAGGAATAGAACGATCCAAGATAGTTTTGAAGGCATTTCTTGTCTTTCGAAACTTCTTGAAGACTTCTACAAATCAAAGGGGGAAGAGTGTAGTATGATTGAAGCAGCTATACAAACTAGCCACAAGACTTCTGTCAATAGTTGTGTGATTGACTCTGCACTTGACCAAAATTGTGTAAGGGAGGCACATAACATCAGATTACAGATTCAGGTTGATGAAAACCACAACATAAATTCTACATACTCCCTGGTTTACAAGGATTTCTTTGGAAAAGTTTTTGTCTTCTTTGAGCACAAGCTCAACAACAAGAGGTGGCCACTTGCTCTTGTAGAGATTGCAGCAGTCCGTTTGGTAAATGATATACCAGTTGTTAACAATGGGCAAATGAAGCCAAAGGTAGTTCATCTGGCAGATGTCAAAGAATTGGTTGGTTTGGTGAAGTTGGACGCGACTATAAATATAACAACAACAACAACAACAACAACAACAACATACAACATACATAATGTGGCCAGAGCTTAACTGCGGCCCAAAAATGTTGCTTGGTTCTCTTGCAGACCTATAATTTGTTTTTTTTTGTAATACATTTTTTTTCAAATTGTCTTAACATATTTTATTCTCTCAGCAAAAGGTTTAGATATTTTCTTCTCTTTTACCTCTGACTTTTAATAGTCATGAATTGTAATCTACATTTACTAAAAATGTAAAGTCTGTAGTTAAAGCTTACTTTTGTCTATCAGGAGATTTAATTTTAGGTGGTCAATTTGCTTTTTGTCAACCTTTTCAAAAAATAGAGATTTTCTAGTTTCAAATTGGATTTTTAGTGATTTTTTAATTATTATAGGCCGAAAACATAGTCACAAAAGCAAAAAACCGCCATTTTTTCCCGTAGTGCATACATATTTTTGGATACAAAAGTTTCTTATTTTGGAGGTGTTTAAAGATTTATATACTTTAAAATATTTAAGATGCATTGCTCAAGGATTTCTATTCAATAGGTGCTTGCCACCACCCAGAAATTTATCTGCATCAAAAATTTAGGGGAATTTTACGGACAGCCTGGCGGGACAGCCTGGAAGGATGTTTAGAAGTATGTTACGTCACCTAGTCACATGTTTGGGCAAATGTCATATTGGCGGGACAACCTGGGCAGCCTGGACAGCCTGGAAATATATTATGACACTTTAGGTCCGAGTTTAGACAAATGGTCATTTTTTTGGGTGGAGGAAGGAGGGTGAACTATATAAAGTGTTCTTTAGTTTGCCAATAAAATTTCTGCCCTTTTTTTACTACAACGTCAGTGCATAATTCTTTTGACATCTAAGATGAGCAACATCAACAACACCAATGACTATGTCACTGTTAGTGAGACTTCTTCAAAGAAGTACAATGCTGCCCTAACCGAGTTCAACTCAATATTTCTTGTTGGAAGAGAATTCTCTTCAACTGTAGCTGTCCGTGAAGCCACCAAGGCATATGGTGCTAAGCATAATATTGCACTCACCACATATTCTTCTTTAAGCACCCATATAAGAATGATTTATAAGCACTATGGTGAATACAGAGACACTTGAAAGGCTGAGAAAGTTGTTTTGGAAGCCTCTGTCAACCAAAAAACCCCTGTTCCTGGGTGCAAAAGAGAACGTGTAAAGGATACCCAGAAGAGTGGTTGCCCTTGTTTCATATATGCTTTGGAAAAGAAGGATGGAAAAGTTTTAGTCCATTCTTGTGAGACAAATCATAACCATCCAATTGTGGAAGACCATAGAGCATATGCTCTGTATCGAAAACTTTCTTCTGAAGCCATGATTCTTGTTACAAAGCATCTGGAAGATAATAATAATGTTTTCACAATATTTAATAATTTGAAGAACAATGGATTCGTCATTATCATTCACTAGGATATTGAGAATATTAAGCAGCATTTTGGAAAGTCCAAGAATGGAAAGGAAATGTTTAGTTTTACAACAACACTACAGGATCTTGACTTCTATGTCAGATACACTGTTGGTAATAGTGAAGAAAACAAGATAAGTATGGTCTTCTTTGTCCATAAATACTGCAAAATTGGGCTTAAATTATTGCCTAACAGACGTCTGTTATTTTTCATAATAGATGATAAATACATTGTAACTCCATAAAATCTTGTATGAGCAATCGAAGATATCTTTAAACGCATATTATTGGCTGAAGGATATCATGCAGTTTGATATTAATAAATATTTAAATAATACAATAGCGTATAATATAGTTTATTCTTTACCAACCCCCTTATTTTTGCAAAGAAAAACAACTGAAAAATATTTGTCATTGCTGATTCTAATGAACACTACCACAGAGATTAGAAACCAAATATGATAGTAAGCTGCACATAAGTAATATTATTGGTCTAGAAAAATTTCTTCTGTGTAATATTGTGATTTGAAAAAAATAACATCCAAATAGAGAAGAAAATAAAGTTCAAGTGGGACGAAATATTTATTAAGGAAATCTGGGAGTTGTTTGGAGTAACCATGAAATGACTTTGCAAAAATTTAAAAAAAGACAGAGATTTTTATGAAAAAAAAAAATATGATCTGGAATAAATTCCAAACCACTCGAAAAAAAACGTAAAGAATTTAATTAACTATACTAAATTATACTAAGAAATAATAATAACTATACTAAACGATACTAAGAAATACTACTTCTAAACTATGCTAAATGATACCAAGAAATAATAATAATAACTATACTAAACGATAATAAGAAATACTAATACTAAACTATGCTAAATTATACTAAGAAATACTAATAAAAAACTATGCTAATTCACACTGCTTAAAAAACCAAAGAGAATCAAATTTGCTGAAGTTAACTATATAGGTGATATCATTAACTTTTGTTAAATCAATCTTGCACAGAGGCTTGAGGTTAGTCAGAAGAGAACGCTCACTAGTTAATTCTATTTTAAAATAGTTGTTTTTCCTCTCCTCACTCATACGAGCAGTGGGACAAAGAAACGTAACCATAGGGCCTGAGATCATTCTAATACTAGGATTCATGCCATTTATGTTCTTGTAAACAAAACCAGCAAAGGAATTATCCTTCAAAGATCCAATTTTGCTGGTGTTGTTGTTGTCTGCAAGAGGTCATGATCCCCCAAGGAATAAGTGCCAGAAAGTTTCGACATTGTTGTGCTTGAGACATTCTGCAATTTCGCTTCCAGAGTATTCTTGTTGGCCGTTGTCATTAGTCCAGGAACCACCATCAAAGATATGCTGCATTATTATCTGCTTTGCAAACTTGAAGCAGACATCTCTTGAGGTGTTCAAACGATTGGTATGAATAAGATGCTCACGAATGTGCTTGTTAAACTGTTTGCCTTTTTCAGTTTCATAATTAAGGGCCGGTCCAAATCGTCTAATGTTGTCAGTCAAATGGTTCAAGAAGTGGACCTTCGGTTTGTTGCAGAAAGGTGTGTAGTTGTCCTTTTGAGTCAGTTCCTTCTCTTTGGTAGCAACCCAGATATCAAATGTATGAAGTTCTTTGATTAAGTCATTCACAGCATAATCAACTCGAGCAAGATACTCTTCAAAATGGGATTCAACCTGTCGAACAAATATCAATGAACATAGTCGACCAAGTTCAACAAAGCAGGGCATAATTGGTTTTATTACCTCATCATCAGCAAAGTCTCTGAGGAAAATAGCAGGAAGAGTCTGAAGCAGCACCTTGTAGTCTCTACCAAGAAAAGATTCACAGTGTCTCAAGAGCTGGGTAAATCTGCGAGAAAGTCCAGTTGTCTGTTCACATTCTTTCAAGCTTTTGAAAAGCTTCTCCAGTTTGTCTGCGTGCTTCTTGAGAGTAATTTTCACCAATCCATTGATCAAGTATTTTGCAATACCAAGTAGAATTGCGTGAAGAATTTCAATTGGTGTGTCCTTCGATAGGTCAAATGATTTTAAGTCCAATAAACATCCTGTGGAATGGTCAATGAAACTGAGAGCTCTTGCATTCACAGGCTTTCCAGTGTTCAAAACATCAGGCATTATTGTGGTTCTGTTTTTAGTAGAATTAGCCAAAACATAGTGTTCCCTTGTTCTTTTGTTATGTCTTTTAAGATAATATTCCATCTCTTTCAACGGAACAGTTCTTTGGATCAAGATATAACATTTGTGGCAGAGATACAACGTTGCAGAACCAAGTATATCACAGAGCTCAGAGTGACAGGGGGTGTCAGCTTCAATCCAGAGTAAGGGAGCCACAAGCAGAATGTATGCATTGTCCTCAGCAGAGTACACAACAATGTCATTCTCAAGTTTCTTAAGATCTCTGATGAGTGTTGGCAGAAGAGACATACCGCTAACATCATTCTTCTTTGGGATGGCCAACAGAAATAGTTTATTTGCGATAAGTGAGCGTTCTTCATAAGACAGTCCAGCTAACTTCATGGACCAACTTTCATATGGGTTGAACTGCTTTGACCAGTTACCAGAGGTGTCATCTGTAAAAAAAATTATAGGAGCAATCCTCACTTTGTAATACAAACCAGAATTAGCTACGTGTGCACTATCTAAAACAAGGCATTTAAAACAATGATCTTTATACAAAAGATCATAGTGATAATCGTTCAAGCCAGAAGCAGATGTAGGCTCATGAGAAACATAGATTGCTCCCAAAGCTGCGGAGTCAATAGTGTCCAAGTCTTCAACTTTAACATCTTTTGTTGCTGAGTCCAGATAGTATACATTATTTGGGTCAATCGTAGCTAGATATCCTCTTGCAAAGGTGGAGCAGTTTGCAGTGTGGAAATCTTTTACCAGGAATTGTTTATTGTCAGCAGCATCATATATCTTCATTAAAAATCCAGCCCATACAATGGCATTGTTGATGGTGAGCATCGGTTGCTGGTATAGCTCGTGTTCTTTCCATTTTACACCTTGCTGTAAGCTGATGGATTGGTCAGGAGTCCAGTCAGGCAAAGATGTGATCTTTCCAGCTTTTGATGGATTTGCTATCAGAAATCGCAGGTGTACAGTTGGCATGTTGATGTAAGCAGGTATAGACGTGGGGCTTGATTCAGGGACATCGACTTTTGTAGAAGGAAAGACAGTGATTCTGTTTTTCTTCATCCAGTGGTAGTTCATAAGGGCATTCAACTTAGGGAGCTTGAATGTTCCTTATTCAGTGGTGTCGGCCTGGATTTTGCTGATCGTGTTCATGGCAAACAGAATCTTCTTCATCATTCTTTGGGAAACCATGTCATTGTTGCCATCAACAAGAGCACAAAGTACCATGGTCTGCAAATCAGGAAAAGAGTGGCATTCTGCAATAGGATCTTTCATGATCTGTTCCACGATATTGGCAGGGTCAGTGTTGGTATCAGTTTCAGCAGTGTCAGAGTCATTTTCCGCATCTAAGACTTCATCATCAAAAGAAGACATAGAGTTAGTAATCGAGTTATAAAAACTATCATGGTCCAATACATCATTTCCAAAATAAGGGTCAAAGACTTGATCGTCTTGAAGTTTCCCATTATACTCATTGTCTTCAGCTTCAGTTTCATCTTTGTTGTCAGAAGTGCAGTTGAACTGGTTGATTTCAGCTTCAGTCATTATTGTTGTTGCCATTCTTGCTTAGTTCAGAGTCAATGTCAAGTCATCAATTGCAGCCCTCTCAGTTGAAGAACTGGGTCCTTCATTAGAAAGTACATGATTAGATTCCATGTGTCTTTTCAAAGTAGATGGCCTAGCATAATCCTTTTGACATTCTTCACAAAAAGTGTTTTTTGATTTGAATGTTATTGTAGATTCGCCAGGTTTGTTATTTTGCATTGTAATAATAAGACAAAGGTGAAAAATGACTTGGCATAAAATTGTTGAATTTATAAAAGTGCAAAGACAAATGTTTAATGTCAGCGCACCAATTAGAATTTTTTCTACTAGTTTTGACTAAGAGAAGCTTGCGTGTTTACATCTTCTTTTTTCACTCTACTTTGCCCCAAAAGGTTGACTGTTTGTACATGATTTTATTTATAAGGTATTCTAATATGTTTCTAGCCTCTATGAAAACAATATCATCTTTACGTACTCCCACTTCAAAGGTATTTGTGCTATTAAATTAGTTTTATATGTCAATATGTTTATTAATCATACCAATCTGGTTTATATATTAGTTCTTTCATCATCTGGCAAAATGAGTAAAGAGGTAATAACTATAAACTCTGCTTACAAAGCAATAGAATACTAACTGTTTCATATTCTCACTCATAGGTATTCAGCTCTTTATAATTATGAATGACTTGGCAGAATCTCAAAGGTAAGCATCTTTAGACAAAAGTATTTTAAATATGATTACTAATTGCTTTTATTCTCTTAGAGTCTCTTGGCACGCGTGTCTTCAAGTTTCTTGGCACTCAAGACTTCAAGTTCTTTGGTTTTCATGTCATCTATGATGCTGTTTTTCTCTTAAAATAGTTAGATATATTAGCTTACTATATATCAACCACGTAATCTACAGGCATTGGTGCTAGCAGCTATACTACGGTTTTAACCAGTAGTATTAGTTTGCTAGTATACTACTGCTGCAGATTATATGGCCCAGCCTAGTTTTTTTTAATTTTTTATTTTTTCTATTTTTTATTTTTTTATTTTTTTATTTTTTCAATCCAAAATAAACCAAAAATAAAAACCCATTTTTTTGAACCCAAAAATTATTTGAACCAAATTTTATTTTTGAGCCATTTTTGAATCGTTTTTGATATTTACAAAAACATATTTTTAAATCCGTGATATTTTTTTCTGATCAGAACTATCACAAAAAATGTGCAGATCCATAAAAGGAAATAAGCGGCACATCAAATATTACAGCCCTTTTGGGAATATGATTACACAAGAAATATCTCTGGTGGTGAAGTAGCATATAGATACTCAAAATGTAGTGGCAATCCCTCTGGCTATACAATTACAGACAAAAGAACGGCCAAAAGACATATCCAAAACGATGAAGACAAGATTATTGATCAAATTGTTAACAGTAGAGACCTTCATGCATTTTGGAAAAGTGCAAATTATTGCTTTATAAAGAAAACTTTTAAAATTTTCTAAATCTAAAAATAAAACAAGTGTAACATAACAGACAAAAATTGGAAAAGTTCCTCTTACTCTGTTCAATATTTGAAAAATTTGAGGTGAACTTTTCCAATTTTTTGGTCAATAATTTTCTATATTTGTCTTCTACTAAACTGCCTTTACAAATCACTTTAGAAAAAGGAGGAAAATACTTGATTTCTTTCCTTGTAATTTTAGTGATAATTATATGTCTGGTAATATACATAAAAAGTCTCATCTGATCAAAGTGACTCCACTTTAAAAAGTAATTTAATGTAGTATCTGACAATTTGAAAAAATGTTGAAAAATTTGAATGCATGAAGGTCTCTAGTAAATAAATTTGCTAAGATATATTTATATAATAATATAAATAATAATAAAAAAGAAATATATATTTCAGCTCAAACAAATACTGTCCACACTGCTATAGAAGTAGATCAAACTGAAGATTATGACAAATGTAATTTTATATTTTATTTTTTAATATGATGTGTACTTTAATTTAACTTTGTTTCTCTAGATGACAATTTGTCTACTGGTATATCTGAATCAATCTGGAATGTGGAGACATTCTTACATCTTTTGGAAGAAGAGTCTATTTTTGAATTAGAAGAAAATTATCAATGTTCCTCTGACATTGAAGTATCAGATGAAAGTGATAACGACAAAGAACAAGAAGAGCAAGAAGAGCAAAAGCAAGAGCAAGAGCAAAAGCAATACAAAGGTTTGAATAAGATGAAGCTTTCTTAAACTCGACGTATATTAATACTCATTAATAATTGCTTACAAATACATTAGAAAACCTTCCTAAATACCCCTGGCACAGATTGATAGCAGTCTTTCATGTCATGTTCATTTCAAGATTTGTTGTAGATGAAGGTGCTGTTATCTTGATCTCTTTTTTCAATAATGTCTTCGAGCACTACGGAGAAGAATTCAGACTTCCAACCAGTCTTCCTACTCTTAAAAATCTGACAGGATTCAGTGATTTGACAAGCGGCATGTCTTGATATGTGGCATGTAAAGACTGTCACAGTATATACAAGAATACAACCAATCCAACTGTTTCTTGCGAGTTTAAGAAATTTTAGAATGCCAAAAAATGCGGATATACCTTATACAATATCACAAAAACCAACAGCCTGACATCAAAACGCGTATACGTATACAATTCTCTGAAGAAAGCCTTGAAAAAAATGTTCATGCGCCCAAATTTCGAAGCATTGATCAACCAGTAGAATCGTGGACCCAAGGTCGAAAACACAATGTTTGATATATATAACAGCAAGATGTGGAAGGAGTTTATAGATAGTGAAGGTATACAATTTGTTTCTAAGGAACGGTCATTGCTTTTGACCCTTAACATCAATTGGTTCCAACCCTTTGATGGGGTAACTTATTCTTGTAGAGCAATTTACCTGACAATTAACAACCTCCCAAGAGAAGAACGATACAAGGTTGAGAATATGGTTCTCGTGGGGTTGATACCTGGACCAAAAGAAGCAAGCACAAATGAGATGAACTACTATCTGCGTCCTCTTGTTGATGAGCTTATGGATTTGTACAAAGGTATTAGCATTGATATACATAGCTGTCCTGGTGTGCTGGTCTGTGCTGCTCTCCTGATAGTCACATACAACATTCTGGCTGCAAGAAAAACATGCGGATTTACCTTCCACAACAGTACCAATGTCTGTCATAGGTGTAATCGCCACTTTTACCGTTTTAAAGGCACTACTATTGTTGACTACTCTCGATTTAAGTTTTCAGAATGGGTAGGCCAAACAAAGGCAGAGAACCTGGAGCACGCCACCATATGGAAAAATACTAAGAGTGCAGCTGCACAAAAAACATTGGAGCTTGCAAATGGCGTTTGTTGGTCAGAGTTGCATCGACTTTTCTACTTTGAACTAGTACAGTCAACTATAATTGTTTCAATGCACAACCTTTTCTTGGGAACTGCAAAAAGAATGGTTGATAAACAGATTCTTAGTAAGATTCTCACTGACGCCAACCTTGTAGAGATGCAGAAGGAAGCAAACAAAATGACACTTCCAAGAGACTATACGGCAATAACAAGCAAAATTGGGAAACAATTTTCATTGAAGGCGGATGAATGGAAATCATGGTGTTTAGTTTATTCTCCTGTGATGTTAAAGAAGTACTTGCCTGATGAATTATATGTTAATTGGATATATTTTGTTGATGCTTGCCAATTACTTACAAAGCCGTCTATCACCAAGAACGAGATTGAAAATGTCCACCAAAGTCTCAAAAAGTTCTGTATTGAATGTGAAGATCTATATGATTCTGATGTTCTTTCACCAAATATGCATCTGCACTTGCATTTAAAAGAAACTATTGAGGACTTTGAACCTGTATACGGATTCTGGCTTTTCAGCTTCGAACAATACAATGGCCTCATCAAAGGTTTTAATACCAACAGAAAAAATTAATTCAGAAAAAACATATATGGATAAATTCATTGAGAATGCTTCCAAAAGTAATTTTCACAGAACCAACCTCCACACTATTGCCAACCCATATCACCTTACAATCTTCAACAAACTTTCCAACAGTATAACTGGTATCAAAAATACACCAGTTCTCAGCTCACTCTTGATATTTTGCTTAACTTCTTTTGTTGAATCTGGTTCCAATCTAAACAAGCAAATACTTGGAAATGTACCACTCTCACAAACTGCATACCTGTGGTGATCCAGACACTCGGATGTTGAATTTATCACATATAAGAACATATTCATATTGGGATAGCATAGTAGCTATCATCTTGTCAGTATAAAATTTATATAAATGATTAAGTAATCAGCCCAATAATTATTACAGTTAGTACTGTAGATAATATCTTAAAGATTGTTAAGATAATTATATCATACTGCCGGGTAAACTGTGTCAGATCGATATGGAGCTAATTTAGTAAGAAGTCCTAAAGCTCTAGTATAAAAGAGAAATGAATAGCTAAGAGCTAAAGAAGTACAATTTATGACTTGATGTCATAATTGTAACACCGACACTAGTTAAGCAGTAAATACACTCTAATAACCAAATATAGTAAAGGAAGAAAGCCTTAAGAAACTAAGACGTAATGACAAGAGCAGATTGTGTTTTCTTATAAAAAGGGACATTTTTTATTTATGAATAAAGACAACTGATATACAGTCTCAAAGTATTTCTATACGTCTCTATTATCAAATATTTTATTTTTCTATTGTTTCATACCTGAAATACCACAACAACAAAAGAGCTCTGTAGAATAGTTGTAAACAGCTATTACAACTGCTTAGCTGATAGCAAGCACAATTCAAGCATGACCAAGACTAAAAATACAGCCAACAGAAGAGGCAACCAAAAGGCTGAAATAAGAAAACTCTATATCTTTATTAGTGAAGTTATGCTTATTTGATATACTCTGTTTTATTATAGCTCTACAAAAGATGCCGTACAACTTATAATAAACATATGAGTGCAGTTGATGAGAAATTCAATAGAGACAACAGTAGTGTCTTTTTCAGAGATGCAACGTCTGATGATGAATCAGAGACAGATGTTAAAAGTGTGGCATTTCGTCCAAGTTAGAGAAGTGATGAGATAATACATTATACATGCCAGTAACTTGTTTTTTTTATATCTTTCTGATAAAAGCGATTGTTTGTAGTTGAATGAATTGTTTGACCATCTGGACGAACTTGCAGTTCCAGACTTAGGAAAAAGGGCAAACCAGTTAAAAACACGACGCTTTGTACCAGTAAAAAAGCTAATTCCTTGTGGCTTGGTTGTTAAAATGTCTACATGGGCTCGATGCTAATTACAAAAGACTGTTTAACCATTATCTCTTCTTAAGCGCTTATATAAAGTGTGTTTGTATTAAAAATAGATAAAAATAAGTAAAAAATAAATATAATATTAAGCATAAAGCTTTCTTGGTAAAGAAATGACAATGACTTTTGCAGTACCATCATCAGATACATGATCACCAATTGCAACTGATAAGAGAATGCAGTGAACTGGCAAAATATTTTTAGAATTGTACTTTACAAATGTCGGCTCACACAATACCATGCCCTGTTCAGTTTTTAATTGGTGGTAAGGGGCTTTATACTATTCAACAAAAGCAAATACATGCTGTGAGTTCAAGTAGTGGAAGAAATTAGTGGCTGTGGGTTGTGGAGAAAAATCATGGACAAAAATGTATTTGATATGACCAGCATATGTTTCCTTAGATTTTCCATCTTTTGTAGCAAATCTTGCCATTATATGCGAGCCTCTTGTCACCAAACCTTTGCTTCCAACATATTTTTGTCTGAGAAGATTTATAGATTGAATCTTCTGGATTCTGTCATTTACTAATTTGGAGTTTCTTATGACTCCTTTGGCACTACAAAGTGAGGTATCTTTGTACTCAACTCTGTAATACTTTAAGAGATACTCATATTAAGCAATTTTCATAGTGAATGACTCTTTGAGATCAAGCGGGTATTGTGGTATTTCAGGTACAAAACAATAGAAAAATAAAATATTTGATAATAGAGACATATAGAAATACTTTGAGACTATATATAAGTTTTTTCTTTATTCATAAATAAAAAAGTGCCCCTTTTTATAAGAAAACACAATCTGCTCTTGTCATTACGTCTTAGTTTCTTAAGGCTTTCTTCCTTTACTATATTTGGTTATTAGAGTGTATTTACTGCTTAACTAGTGTCGGTGTTACAATTATGACATCAAGTCATAAATCGTACTTCTTTAGCTCTTAGCTATTCTTTTCTCTTTTATACTAGAGCTTTAGGACTTCCTACTAAATTAGCTCCATATCGATCTGACACAGTTTACCCGGCAGTATGATATAATTATCTTAACAATCTTTAAGATATTATCTACAGTACTAACTGTAATAATTATTGGGCTGATTACTTAATCGTTTATATATATTTTATACTGACAAGATGATAGCTACTATGCTATCCCAATATGAATATGTTCTTATATGTGATAAATCCAACATCCGAGTGTCTGGATCACCACAGTTGTTGCTTGTGCTGATGCTAGTTGGCAGTGGGTATAATAAATCAAATCATTTGCCAGTTGTTGATTCACAATGTCTGATAATCCAACATTGACATTTTACATTGGCTTTTCTTCATTTTCTTTTATACAGTCAGAATCTTGCGACTTAAGTTTGAAATTTCTCAAACGGTTTTGAATAAGTTTCTAGGAATTACTTGTTAATAACATATTCTATCTTTTTAGTTTTTAGAGCTAATGGATATTTTGAGATATCTTGTATTTCCAATAAGATCCTGAATTTGAAGTTGAGGGTTCAAGTCAATCTCATTTCTAGTAGAACTAACATCAATGTCAGTCTGAATATTCTGAGAAAATTCTTGTCTAACAGGTTGCTGGCTGCTGATATGAAGAGCAACAAGACTATCAACAGTGTTCATGATATTAGCTGCATTATCTTAAATAGTGCCGACTGCTGTAGATACTGTCTTAATAGCACCACTATTGGCAGACAAGAGTGCAATAATGTTTTCATACTTGCTTCTTGAGAGCACTACATTGTCAGACTTAGGAGCAAGTAAAGAATGTGCAGGGCCCACCTGGCCTTTGTTGACCGCATTAATCAATGGTTTGGACAATGATGCCTTTGCAGAATCGGTTTTCTTTGTATAGGTAAACTTCTGTCTCATTCTTTATAACTGTTGATATCATATTAATTAATTGACAATATATAGATTGATGCTGCTCTATTTAAGTTAGTCAATTAAGATATTTTCATACTTTCTGTGTAATAATTTAATAGCTTTGGGAAGAAAAGATTTAAGATAGTCAGTGTGTAAGTAAAGAGATAATATGTAGTTAAGTTGATGGTGTATCAAAGTTAATAAGGAGCTGTGTTGTTAAAATTTATTAGTTGGGCTGGTTTAACTAAGCAATATTAACATAGCATATACTGGCATCATGAAAGCACATGCTTAGTCTTACATACATATGCATACATTAAAAAAAGTTGCATAATTTTTATGCCCTGATTTTCATCAAGCTCTTATATCTCTTCTTTAGTTTTACTCTCATATATAACTTTTTATCATCTTCAACAATTAATTATATTCAATTGATTTATTTATTAGTAAAATCTGATTTTTTTGTTCATTTACAATTGGAGACATGGTTTCTAATAGCTATTGCTCATTCTTACATTGAGGATTAAAATTAATTTTGTTTGCTACAATATTAAACTTTATGGCCAGTACATTCCAATTTAGGGGGTTTTTTTAAAAGAAAAATCTGCTTATCTTCTATATTCTATAAATATTTCAATTACATTTTTCATTTTCTCTCTTTCTATCCTTTCTTTACTCATAAATTCTACTCAAGTACTTTGTCTCTAAATATGAGCTTTACAATATATATTACTAATTTTCTTAGATAGTATATATAAAGCAGTTATATGGTAAACACTTTCAATACTCTGTGCAAAGTATAAAGAGCATCATTCTCATGACATGTTTTTTTATTAGACACGGCTAGCTTTTCTTACTCCTGTATAATCAATATGAAAAAGCAAAGTAAGTACTTTAACTCTGGTGATTATATATATATCTATACTCTACGTAAGCCTATACTAAGTTTATTTTACGTGTGTAGTATTATATAATGATTTAATCTTTCAATTATGATATAAAGATATCCTTACCAAGTAAGTGCTGTGTATGTTTATAGAATACTCTATAGTAACCCAATGATTTATTTTATTTTTATACGTCTTCACAATGATAGTAATAATCTGGCTATATCAAAGAGGTAAATACATAGCATTATTTCTCAAGCACCATCAGATATTAATTCTTTAAATTATATATTTTACTTTTATTTTAGATAATGAATTCTATCAAGCAAGTATTTATGCTACTGGGTTCCCATGAGAAATAATCTAGCAATATACCCTGTGGAAATATTAGAAGTAGAGTAGACACAAACAGTCTAGAATATAGAGCTTTTCTAAAGCAAAAATGTATATTTTTTATATTATTATATTGAATCTGTTATTAACATAAATAAGGCTTTTTTTTACCATAATAAAAATCAATGTGTGCAATATATTTTTCTGCAGCCTAGTTTTCAATTGAAAGATCTATTTATAAAAATCATGCCAATAAATAATTATATTTTTAAAAATAATTGAGCCAATAGATTTTGTTAAATATCAAAAAAAAAATATCTATTCTGAGTGATAGACGTCTGTTATTATGCCAGACCATTTCAAATAGTATACATTTATTGTTCCTAATATGTGATAGTCTATAAACTGTTCTTGGAACAAATTGTGCCTGTATGCATATTATAGCTAAACTTACATTTTCATTCCCAAACAGACATAGTATTCAATACTATTTGATCAAATAATTAATTTCTTTTGAGCTGGATAATATTAATAGATGTCTACAAATCATTGATATGTTACATAATATCTTAATATTATACTACTGTCAAGTCTCGACTGGGTGTATCTTTTTATTAATTTAACTTGTATAAGTTTTGATAATAGATCACCACCAACTAGGATATTGTGAATAAATAGGAACAGATAGGAATATAGAGAATTGAATGCTTTTTATTGATATAAATCTTAGAGTATTTATATAGATTTCTTCAAAGTGAAACTATCTAATCTAATTATTTTACCCAAGACATATTGGTTTTACATTTATGGAAGGCAATATAATATGTCTTGGTTAACAAAAAGGGGAACCAATTGGTATAACATTGAGGGCATATGTTAAAAGGAATAACCAATCGGATATCTGACTTAAGGATTTCTATCTACGATGTCAACTCTGACACTACTAATATCATAATACTTTAAATAAAATTTTGCAGTGTATACTGTGGTTAATGCTCAGGAAGATGTTACTGTACATAACAAGGTACTGCTGTCAAGTCTCAATCTGGTATTTCTTTTCTGGCACTTGTAACTAAGTCGCAGAATCAATACCACTGGGGATTGTCAAGTTTATGAATAGTTTTTAGATAAGAATAAAGATGCTTTTTATTAAATGTATTTCTTGACTATTTATACAAAATGATAATTGATTTCTGACTAAAAGAATAGCTACGATAATATGTCTTAGATGCTTGTTGTCCAGTAATATCTTCTACAAGTATATTCACCATCTTAAACATCTAAAACATATGTGAAAGACCAATTGGCGAAGTCAAGATCTTTTATCCTAAAAAGTCAGCCATTACTGGTTGCTTGTAAATTCCGATTTTGGTTACCAATGTCAACTCTGACATCTGACACTGTGGTTAACCATCTTCAGATTTTATGGATTCATCAAAATAATTGTCAAACATTATTTTGATGAATCCAAGAAATCGGGATAATTGACCGCAGCAGTTCTGTATGTCAAAGATACCTCATAGATAACGAACCGCAGTAATGTCTTGTAAAGATTAACCACAATAACATCTTCTGAGCATCAACCGCAGTAAAAGGACTTCTTTTGTAATTAAATAGAGTATAATAGTTTACTGCGGATAATGCGCAGTATTAGTTTAGAAAACTATATAAGACAATTCAATTCCTATCAATAAAAAGCACCTTTTATCCTCTCTTCAATTTTACATATACTCTCCGATCCCCAGTGGGTTTGACCTTTTGACTTTGCTATAGTAAAAGGAAGACTATTGTCGGACATTATTTTGATGAATCCGAGAAATCGGGATAATTGACTGCAGCAGTTCTGTATGTCAAAGATACCTCATAGATAACGAACCGCAGTAATGTCTTGTAAAGATTAACCACAGTAACATCTTCTGAGCATCAACCGCAGTAAAAGGACTTCTCTTGTAATTAAATAGAGTATAATAGTTTACTGCGGATAATGCGCAGTATTAGTTTAGAAAACTATATAAGACAATTCAATTCCTATCAATAAAAAGGACCTTTTTATCCTCTCTTCGATTTTACATATACTCTCCGATCCCCAGTGGGTTTGACCTTTTGACTTTGCTATAGTAAAAGGAAGACCATCCCAGATCAGGAACGACAATTGGTAGCTGAAGCTATTTTTCCTCTAACAAGACCTTTGATGAATCCGGTTGAAAGACACCAAGACATATTTGATAAGAAGACCCTTAGCCAATTCGAGATTGAAGAACGAGTCCAGGACTTGTTACCTAGCGAATTAGTAAACGACTACAAGAAGAATCGGCGTGTTCCTCATATCCCTGAAGAACAGCGTATTAAGAAGACCCCTGCCCGAGAACAGAAGTGGACCGAACTAGCCACAAAACTAGCCGCAACCTTAACAGGAAAGAACAAACAAGAACAAGAAGAAACAATGGCCCCCCAAACCGCCACTCTAACAGCCGAAGCAATTGCTGCTGCCGTCGCCAAAGCAATGAAAGCAATCACGGTGCAGCAGGAGGCCCGTGCTGAACGAATCAAGCAACCTGATTGCTTCCATGGAGAACGTTCTGCCACAGTAGTGGATGGTTGGCTGCGCGCAGTCGAACGTTACACCAGATACTACAATTTTTCCGCAACAAAAGCCTGTGAATTTGCAGTGAATCTGTTGCGTGACAGAGCAGACACATGGTGGAGACGCATGGAAGTAAAGGACAAACATCCAACAACCTGGGATGAGTTCAAGATGGCTCTGTCGGGAGAATTTCGTCCAGTCTACTCACTACAGACGTCCAGGGACCGCCTTGCTCGACTATACCAAACAGGAACGGTCGCAGAGTACATCGACGCGTTCCACGACATCCAGTTGGAGTTGCCTGGAATGAACGATGAAGAAGCCCTCGACAAGTTTGTCCGCGGACTTCACCCCACCATACGAGGAAATGTTCTTGCCGCCCGACCTGTCGACGTTGACGATGCCTGCAACATCGCTTTGGCATATGCCAGTGGCCTCCACTTGGGGCAACAGAACAACTACGCACCCGTCCCCCAACCGTACCAACAGACGTACCAACAGCCGTACCAACAGCAGTACAGTGGTCCCGAGCCCATGGACCTGGATGCGATTCAAGGTCGCCGTAATAACTATCGATCTCGCCCCCCTCAGAAACGTAATGTGGCTACTTGCCATTGGTGAGGCGAAGTTGGTCACTTCAAGAGGAACTGTAGGGATCGATTAGCAGCGATTAGACAGTTAGATGAGGCACGTAGCAAGAAGCAGGGTTTTCGCGAAACACAACCGTAACGGGAGGTCGGTTGTGTTCAATGGAAGAAAAATCCTCCCCACAGGCTAATAATATTAGCGAAACTAGCGAACCAGAAATTAATAAAGACGTGTCTGAACAGTATACAAATGTTACCAATGAAGAGCCTGAGACTATGTCTGAAGAAAATTGTGACCCTTGTCTCACTGCTGACCAACATTTCTTAGAAGATCTCCATGCTGCCGTGGACACAGACTTGCCCTTATACGCCGCTATACTTGACGGACAACAAATCCTGGTGTTAATTGATAGTGGTGCTAGTGCAAACTATGTATCACCCCAGATCGCCCATTTGGCCACACACATTTTGGATATACCCGGACGATCAGTCGAAACTGCAGGAGGACACAGCATTAAGATCCATCAGAAGGCAACATTAAACCTCTCTTTAAATGGATACACTGACACCATCGATGCTTTTGTATTTCCCACTAAATTCGACTTGATTCTTGGCCGCACTTGGTTGCAAATGGCTAAACCCGTCCCAGATTGGCATGTCGATAGCTGGTCTTTACATCGTGATGAACAAGAATTTATTTTGCGTCCTCATGGGCCCCGTCCTACTAAACCTCACCTAAACTATCTGATATCTGCAAAACAAATTGAGAAACTCTCTAGGAGAGAGGAGGCCGAATGCTTTTTGTTGCACATTAAGACAGAAAAAGAAATACATAATGATGAACACTGGATGAAATTAGTAAAAGAATTTGAGGACGTTTTCCAAGACGGTTTACCTGGATTACCGCCGAACCGTGACGTCCAACACGTTATAAACACTGGAGATGCCTACCCTGTCAATAAACCGCCATTCAAAATGAGCCCTCGAGAACTCGACGAATTACAGCAACAACTAAAGGAACTTCTAGACCTCGGCTTAATTCGTCCGAGTTCTTCGCCATGGGGTGCTCCAATTTTATTTGTTAAAAAGAAAAATGGTGAGATGCGCATGTGTGTTGATTACAGAGCCCTGAACAAAGTTACTATCCGCAATAACCATCCATTGCCACGCATCGATGAGTGTTTGGAACGCCTTCGTGGAGCAAACCATTTCACCAGTTTGGACCTCAAAAGCGGTTACCATCAAGTGAGAATTCAAGACTCAGATGTGCCAAAAACCGCCTTTAACACCCGATATGGCCAATACGAGTTTCTGGTTCTTCCCTTTGGTCTCACCAATGCCCCACCGACGTTTCAGCATCTTATGAACAAAGTTCTTGGAGATTGTTTGGATAAGTTTGCCTTAGTCTATTTGGATGATATCCTAATCTTTAGCACGACACCAGAAGAACACGAAGAACATGTACGACATGTGTTAAACCGACTACGTGAAGCGAAATTAATTGCCAACCTTAAAAAATGCGAATTTAACAAAAACAAACTAACTTTCCTTGGATTCAACGTATCTGCGCAAGGCATCTTACCATCGCCAGACAAAGTAAAGACTATAAAAGAATGGACACCGCCAACAAATGTACAAGAAGTTAGACAATTTATTGGCCTTGCACAGCACTACCGCCGCTTCATCCCTGGGTTTGCTGGAATTGCTGCGCCCTTAACAGACTTAACTAAAGGGACAGGACCAAAACGACGGCCTATCGTTTGGACGGAGACATGCCAGGAAAGTTTCGATTTACTAAAAGAGAAAATGAGTACTGCACCTGTATTACTTGCCCCAGACATGGATAAACCATTCCGCATTGAAACAGATGCTTCAGATTTTGGTGTTGGTGCCGTATTAATGCAAGAAGACGAAAACGGAAGTTGGAAACCATTAGCGTTCGAATTGAAAAAACTCTCCCCTGCCGAAAGATCGTATCCTGCTCAAGAGCGCGAGTTACTCGGTATTCTACATGCCTTGCGTACTTGGCGCTGCATGATCGAAGGAAAACCGTTCACTGTATTCACCGATCACTTACCACTCAAGTATTTTCGCAGTCAGGTTAAGCCCACGCCTCGCCTGATAAGGTGGATTTCTGAATTCGAGCTGTACGACCCGATAATTCAATACAAACCGGGCAAAGACAATGGTGTCCCTGATGTGCTCTCTCGTCTCGATGGCCCAGAATACGATGCAACATTAATTAAATCAATGGAACCAGAATACCTGTACACCATACCAGACTCACAAACGTCCGACTGGCCAAAATTTTATGCACGAAAAAAAGATGAATGGCCAGAAGACATAAAAGAATTACTCCATCGGCAACGCAATAAGTTTGTGGTCCACGACCAAAAGGTTTTCCGTCTCGTTAAAATAGGTGACACGGTACAAGAAATTCGTTTTGCACTGTTTGCCAAGCGTGCAGACTTAGTAAATAATTTCCACAATGGTTTCGGACATGCTGGAGAAACAACGGTGTATGATTTAATGAAGAAGCGTTGGTGGTGGCCAGCCATGAGAAGTCAAATTCAAGAATGGTTATCGAAATGTCATCAATGTCAATTGGCCTCAAACGCAGAACGCAACATACACCATGCCCCTTTGGAACCATTGGATATCCCCCCTGCTTTCTCTCGTTGGCATCTCGACTTCATTGGAGAACTTCCCACTACAATCAACGGAAATCGATGGATTTTGGTTGCCGTCGACTACGCTACGAATTGGCCAATTGCACGTGCTGTTCCTGCTGCTACGGGCGAAGCCATCGCCAATTTTTTGTACGAAGAAATAGTCATGCGTTTTGGTTGCCCAGACGAAATTCTGACAGATCGTGGTGCAAACTTTATGTCACATATTTTGAGCTTTTACATTAAGAAAATTAAGCTCCATCATAAATTAACCTCAGCATTTCACCCACGTACTAATGGAAAATGTGAAAGGTTAAATAGTGTTCTTAAACAGATGTTATGTAAATATGTACATGGTGCCATTCACCGGTGGGACGAATATCTGGAAACAGCACTTTGGGCTTGCCGAATCAGAAAGCATCGTACAACTGGGTTCAGTCCATTTTTCTTGACTTATGGCCGCGAACCTCATATTCCTGGCGATCCCCTACGTCCATTTATGGATACATCTATCCCTGACGACCCGACCCTCGTATCCGATGGCGCTATCCCTTTTCTTCGTAATCTCCAACAGGCTCGCAAAAATGCTGACGCTCGAGTAACCGCCAACAGCCAACAAGACAAGGAACGATGGGATTCGATCATGAAACCTCATCAGTTCGCAATCGGTGAACATTTGTTGTTGCGGCATGAAAACAAATTTGGACTAGAATATAACTGGATGGGCCCATATATTGTAGTAGATAAAAATTTCGATAAGAATATATACAAGCTCACAACAATGGAAGGTGTCCCTTATACTTCTTGGGTTCATGCTGACCGCCTCAAAATAGCCAAATCCGACGATTTCGACCGCACCTGGTATCACCCGACCGCTGCTCGTAACAATATGCGACGTGATCTGGCCATAGATTCCTCTTCCACCTTGCCGTTCTCGATGATAGAGTCTACCAGAGTTGACCGAGGACGATCAACAGTTTCGAGAGGGGGTGATGTCGGACATTATTTTGATGAATCCGAGAAATCGGGATAATTGACTGCAGCAGTTCTGTATGTCAAAGATACCTCATAGATAACGAACCGCAGTAATGTCTTGTAAAGATTAACCACAGTAACATCTTCTGAGCATCAACCGCAGTAAAAGGACTTCTCTTGTAATTAAATAGAGTATAATAGTTTACTGCGGATAATGCGCAGTATTAGTTTAGAAAACTATATAAGACAATTCAATTCCTATCAATAAAAAGGACCTTTTTATCCTCTCTTCGATTTTACATATACTCTCCGATCCCCAGTGGGTTTGACCTTTTGACTTTGCTATAGTAAAAGGAAGACCATCCCAGATCAGGAACGACAATTGGTAGCTGAAGCTATTTTTCCTCTAACAAGACCTTTGATGAATCCGGTTGAAAGACACCAAGACATATTTGATAAGAAGACCCTTAGCCAATTCGAGATTGAAGAACGAGTCCAGGACTTGTTACCTAGCGAATTAGTAAACGACTACAAGAAGAATCGGCGTGTTCCTCATATCCCTGAAGAACAGCGTATTAAGAAGACCCCTGCCCGAGAACAGAAGTGGACCGAACTAGCCACAAAACTAGCCGCAACCTTAACAGGAAAGAACAAACAAGAACAAGAAGAAACAATGGCCCCCCAAACCGCCACTCTAACAGCCGAAGCAATTGCTGCTGCCGTCGCCAAAGCAATGAAAGCAATCACGGTGCAGCAGGAGGCCCGTGCTGAACGAATCAAGCAACCTGATTGCTTCCATGGAGAACGTTCTGCCACAGTAGTGGATGGTTGGCTGCGCGCAGTCGAACGTTACACCAGATACTACAATTTTTCCGCAACAAAAGCCTGTGAATTTGCAGTGAATCTGTTGCGTGACAGAGCAGACACATGGTGGAGACGCATGGAAGTAAAGGACAAACATCCAACAACCTGGGATGAGTTCAAGATGGCTCTGTCGGGAGAATTTCGTCCAGTCTACTCACTACAGACGTCCAGGGACCGCCTTGCTCGACTATACCAAACAGGAACGGTCGCAGAGTACATCGACGCGTTCCACGACATCCAGTTGGAGTTGCCTGGAATGAACGATGAAGAAGCCCTCGACAAGTTTGTCCGCGGACTTCACCCCACCATACGAGCCAACAGCCAACAAGACAAGGAACGATGGGATTCGATCATGAAACCTCATCAGTTCGCAATCGGTGAACATTTGTTGTTGCGGCATGAAAACAAATTTGGACTAGAATATAACTGGATGGGCCCATATATTGTAGTAGATAAAAATTTCGATAAGAATATATACAAGCTCACAACAATGGAAGGTGTCCCTTATACTTCTTGGGTTCATGCTGACCGCCTCAAAATAGCCAAATCCGACGATTTCGACCGCACCTGGTATCACCCGACCGCTGCTCGTAACAATATGCGACGTGATCTGGCCATAGATTCCTCTTCCACCTTGCCGTTCTCGATGATAGAGTCTACCAGAGTTGACCGAGGACGATCAACAGTTTCGAGAGGGGGTGATGTCGGACATTATTTTGATGAATCCGAGAAATCGGGATAATTGACTGCAGCAGTTCTGTATGTCAAAGATACCTCATAGATAACGAACCGCAGTAATGTCTTGTAAAGATTAACCACAGTAACATCTTCTGAGCATCAACCGCAGTAAAAGGACTTCTCTTGTAATTAAATAGAGTATAATAGTTTACTGCGGATAATGCGCAGTATTAGTTTAGAAAACTATATAAGACAATTCAATTCCTATCAATAAAAAGGACCTTTTTATCCTCTCTTCGATTTTACATATACTCTCCGATCCCCAGTGGGTTTGACCTTTTGACTTTGCTATAGTAAAAGGAAGACCATCCCAGATCAGGAACGACACTATCTCAGATCAGGAACGACATAATGTCTGACAAATTTGTAGATAAAAATAAGTGTTTTTAAAACTTTTGAAGCCCAACGGGGGGGTCGAACCCCCAACCTTGAGATTAAGAGTCTCACGCTCTACCGATTGAGCTAGCCGGGCAATCATTACTGTGACAAGAAGTATTATAATAAAATAATAAACAAGCAATAAAATTTCGGTTGTCCAGTAGTGCAGTACAGTTGCAAAATTCTTTGTAATTCTAGAAAAATTATATTCTATTATTATTTTTTTGATTTTCTGACGGCGGCCAAGGCTGAATAGAATGTAATTTTTCTATTTGTAGAGCAAAACACCAATAAGTACAACAAAAAAGCATTATCCTGTTAACAATAACTTCAGGCAATCACACATTGTATATTATTTTCTCACTATATTTAACTGAGTGAATCAACTTGGAATTAATGTGGTATTTCAGGTACGAAACAATAGAAAAATAAAATATTTGAGAATAGAGACGTATAGAAATACTTTGAGACTGTATATAAGTTGTCTTTATTCATAAATAAAAAGTATCCTTTTTTATAAGAAAACACAATCTGCTCTTGTCATTACGTCTTAGTTTCTTAAGGCTTTCTTCCTTTACTATATTTGGTTATTAGAGTGTATTTACTGCTTAACTAGTGTTGGTGTTACAATTATGACATCAAGTCATAAATCGTACTTCTTTAGCTCTTAGCTATTCTTTTCTCTTTTATACTAGAGCTTTAGGACTTCCTACTAAATTAGCTCCATATCGATCTAACACAGTTTACCCGGCAGTATGATATAATTATCTTAACAATCTTTAAGATATTATCTACAGTACTAACTGTAATAATTATTGGGCTGATTACTTAATCGTTTATATATATTTTATACTGACAAGATGATAGCTACTATGCTATCCCAATATGAATATGTTCTTATATGTGATAAATCTAACATCCGAGTGTCTGGATCACCACAATTAATATTATTTTTATTATATATTCTTATAAGCATAATTATCTTCATGATTATGACTTCATAATTATTTTATTTTATTTGTACTTAATGATAGTAAAGAACAAATGATATTTAATAGATTATTAATTATATAACTTTTATTATTTTTTTTATAATTTTATTTATTTAATTATTCAACAATTCAATTGCAAAACTATAAATATTACAATACTTGTATTTAATAAACATTGATTTTTCTTCATCTTATTTTCTGACAACAAGTTCTCTTAATATTTAATGCTGTTGATATTTTACTTGTTTGATTATCTGAGTATATTGAGTCAAGTCTATCAAAATTAATTAATAGTACTGTTTTTCTCTTATTTTTCTCTTATTGATTTTATTATCTTTAATTCTATATTCTCTTTTGAGTTTGTCTTTTTCTCTCTTATGAAAAAGAGAGATTATTTTACATCTACGAACTCATTCAAACTTCAAAAACTATGATAACATCACCTATCAACATTTACTACAAATACAAACCTCACACATGTCAGCTGTGACACGGTACATTGTGGTTTTTATTGGCTGCAGTACCAGTCTCTTTTTCAATCGATTTCAATCTTTTTAATCAGTCACAAAGTCTCAAACCCCCAATTATAATTTTATATTTAATTTTAATTTTAATTTTATTTATATTAATTTTATTTCTTATTCTAAAAATTTGACTTCTCAATATTTTTATTTTTATTCTTCTCCAATTTTATAAAGACAAATTTCCCTTCCCTTTATTCTTTCCCAAAATTAGTTTTTTCCTCTTTTATTTTTCTTACTTTTCTTATGCACTAAATATAATATTTTCCTTTCAACACTACTTTACCAAAATTGTTAACTGTAGTTTTTTTATTTCTTTATAACATACTTCTTTCTGATCTTTTCCATTCTCCGTAGTTATATATTATAATTTCATTTATTTTTCTTTTATAACAAATCATGATTACAATTATTTTATCTATCTTTTTATTACAATTATCTTTTAGACATTAGTGCAACCTATTTTTGTCATAAATTTTATCCAAGAAGTAGTATAAATAACTCTTCAAAATCAATCAATAAACAATAATCGAATTTTTCTGATACAAACGTTTTTTCTAAAGATGCTGTTTACTTTTCCTAATCTCTCTTATGAATTTTTCTTCCATTTACTGTTTTTCTTTGTTAAGTCTTTATGGAAAATTGACTATTTTCTATTATTTTTCTTCCCCTCGAATTTTATAATTTTTGTTTTATTAAATTTTCTTTTTATTTTTCATTTTAAAATTACCTTAGAAATTCTCTTAGTTAATTTTCAATCTTCTAAGCTCTAAATATTTCTCTTAACTTAGTTTATTTTAAATTAACAGTATTTGTTTTCTTTTGCTAGTTCTAGATATTCCTTCCCTTCTGAAATTCCTTTTATTTTTCTCTTCTAGAAGTAGTTTCTTTTATTTAATTTATATTTTATTACAATCGTTTCCCAATTCAAATAACCCTACTTTATTACAGAATTCAATTCTTATTATTACCCATATCTTGCTTTTCTTGTACACACCATACACACAACAAAGTACCACACATGTTACTCTGTCATGTGTGTTGTGGGCAAGTCTGGCATTTGGCCATGTTATAGTGTACAGTACCAGAAGGTCAGTCTGCTTGATGGGTTTGTCTGGCGGTTTGTCATGATGTGTTGTCCCAGTTATGAGAGGCTGACGTCAATGATTTGTTGATGTGATGCTGTGACCTTGGTGGTAATAGGAGAATTTTTCCTTGCACAGAAAAAATCTTGTTTCCATTCCATGTTCCTTCTGCACATAATACTTTTTCCTTTTCCCTTGTTAACATATTCATTCATATTATACTCATTTGAAATCATGATTACACACGTTAGTAACATTTCTCTTCTACAATGTACACAATTCATCTTGCCAATATCTCCATACAACACCAGTACTTTTATTATTATATTTTTATTTTATTTTTATTCATATATTTTATTCTTGCTGTTTTGATTACTCATCATTCTATTTGTACTATCTTTACTTTTCTGAACTTCTACTATCAACTTTAAATCTCTTTATCTATAAAAGAAAAGAAATTTTTAATAAAATATTATTTTTTGATCCAATTCAATATCTTTTTCTTGTTTTCTTCTCTTTGTGGTTTATACCATCTTGCAATATAATATATTGATTCCTTGGTTTTAAAAATATTGTTTTTTGATTTTGATCTTCTTGTCAGTTATTACTTTTCTGTTTCATCATTCTCTTTTCATACATCTTTCCCTCTCTCTTACATTTAACAATGATTCTATCAGTTGTTCTCTTTTTTCTTATCTGTAAACTATTGCTACTTGCCATCTTTTACTGTATTCATCTTCTATTCTACTCTATTATAGATGAATATTACTTTTACAAACTTGCCATACCTCAACAACTTCCATCCCATGCTACTGTCATTTCTATGGTAAGTCTTTTATTTATTTCTATACATATAATAATATTATTTATACTGTATATTAATGTATATCCTCTACTAGAGACAATATTATCACTTTACAGATAATATCTTAGTCTGCAAAGAAATCTTTTGCCTTTGGTATGTAAATCAATTATTCTATCACACAATTCACAAATATTAATTCTTTTCTATTGTTTTATAGTCAAAGAAATCATAGTCTTGTGCTTTACTATAAATTTTTATTTCTTTATCCATTTGTACTGGGTACTTCCAATGTAAGTATTAATTAGTATATAAATGTTGCTGTCTAAAATACGCACACACACCCATCACTAATGTTTTATCTATTATCAAAGAGTGCTGCTCTTATCTCTAAAAACAATAACAAGCATCTCATTTTCTTTAGATATTTGTTTTTTGTAGAAAATCTTTTATCTCAAATATAACAAGCCGGCCGAGCAAGAAGTAGCTGAGAATATAGAATAGTTTTATTAGATTTAAAATTTAGAAACATTCTATTCTTTCTAATAAAAATAAAACTGTAAATCATTACCAATCTAATAAGAATGGGAAACCAAATAAATAAAGAACATATAACTGGTCCATAATTTTAAAGACATATTTTTTGTTATTGTTGATGATTGGAGGCTTTAAAGAACTGTCAGTATACACACCTACTGAAATTTTTTTAAACTCAATGTCCAAGCTAGATGTACTTACTTATTTCCTTGCGCGCCGAGTTTAAATTACTTGGGGGGTCTACTTTTTTATATCGCAAGGGGCTTTAAATTATAAGGATGTGTAGAAGCAGTGACAGCTTTTACTTTTGTTGTTTCTTTTGGAATCTTAATGTTTTTTTTTATATTTTTTTCTTTTTATCAAAACATATTATTATAGAACATAATTGTAATTTTTTATTATCTTTGTGTATTAAGATTTCTAAAGCGGGAAGAGTTTGCATTTCTAAGAGTGTCTATACCATTTATTGCTTCCCTAAGTAAACCACTAATCGCTTGTAATTCAGCTTCATCAATTCCTGGAACATCTATCAACTGCTCTAAGTCTTCTCTTTGATGATAAAGTGTTGTATTCTGGGCCATGATTCTTTGCAACCAAACAGAATTGTTTCTACCACTTACAACAACTGTGTTTGTTTCATTTTCAACTTTCTCATTAACAAC